GAGTGCCCATCATATTTGGGTCAGGTGCCTTTTTAAAGGCAGACCTTTTTGATGTCTGCCTTTGAAAAACATCAAAAAGTTATTTTAAAGACCTTTGGCATCATCAAGTACAGTAGGTAAAAACATCAAGTCTTATTCTAATTTACTTGTTTATAGGATGTCTCCCAGTTCTGTACACTACCCATTGCTACATTTTTATGCTTTATTATAAAACCCATTTTGTTATCATGACTCTTAATTCTCCACCACCAGATAATCAGAAATTCACTGAAAAGTACTGAATTATTGGTCATTCCTGTGGTTGGGGCAACCACAGAGCAATTGCGCTTAGGGCACCCAAATGGCTAGCAACAGCCTTGTTCGTACCAAATTAATAAAAGCAAGATTAGTGTCTGTGGATACAAATCAGATTCACAGTTTTGATCAAGTTTGTGTGCACAGACGAAGAATACAACTTTAGTTCCACTTTGCTCTCAGTCTGTATACATTTAAATATAAAATAAGAATATAAGCTTTATTGCAAAAAATAAAATACATTTCTTGTGACATAATTAAAAAAAAAAAGACAATGCTTCGGCTTCCTTGACAAATATTGTGATGTTGTAATAAAGTGAAAATGAATGAGCTAGGTTGTGGACCATCACCATGTTGCAGGCTTCTCTGTCAGCCTCAAAGATTATTTAGCAATTTGGCTAATTGTCAGCAAATTCAATTAGCTGCAATGAGTTCATTAGTCAAAAAACCATTACAGGATTGGTTAAAAAATAAATTATATTGTTGAAACTCAAGAGTAATTTATTGCAAGATGATACATTCTGCTGACTGAAACAAACAGTAACGTAGTGGTAGATGCAAAAGTAAAGTAAATCTTTAAATATGTATTACTCTAGTAAATAGGTTCTAAATCTCATTGACTAGCTGTGCTCTCTGGAAGGTAGATGATGGTTTGGTTGGGAAAACTATTACATATACAATAGCTTGCAAAACTATTTTTCTCCCTTTTATCTGAGTGCAATCAATTGATATCAGAAGTTGCCTAACTGCTAATGATTATGCAAACTCCACTTGTATGTAATGTAATCTCATTACAACAGTACAAATCCAGCTGCTCAGAGTTTTGTCCAGAGAATATTGGGGAGCAAACTGCATTTTGAAATCCAAGGAAGAATCAGTCCTAAGTGTGGAAATTTGGGTTGCACCAATAAATCAACTTTGATTCATGGAGATAAGTGAGTGACTGATGTTATCTTCCTCCACAAAAGTCTGAAAATCACCCACATTTTGCTTTGCTTAGAAATAACACTCACTGACAGACCCAGGTCATGACTGCATGTAATGTGGTTAGTCACCCCCCACTGCCGCCAACTCAGCAACTTTGTCACTGTATTTAGCAACTTTTCAGAAAAAAAAATGGAATCGGCCAAAATTGAAATCGAGAGAGCAGGCTTCTTAAAGATTGTGATTTGCCATAAAACTGCAATCAGGGTGCAGCCCTGGTTAAAATATCTGATATAATTCAAGTCTTTAGAGTATAAAAAGTGTTCATCTTTGTTTGGCTGGCTGCTATATGCATGCAAAACATTTTCTGCTGCTGTCACTCTCTGAAAATGAGTTAGTGAAAACATTCTGTTGACCCAGGTCCTTTGCAGTTTATTGCCTGCAGGGATTGTTTTGTGGTTCTGTCCTAGCACTCTATTATTATATAATTCAGCATAGCAAAGCTGTGTAAGACCACCAAGCTTACATTTAGCTGTGTAAGACCACCAAGACCATCAGCAGTTGTCAAATCGCTATGCTGCACACCTTGATTGTGTGCCTAAAACTGCATAAATCTAGACAAGACTGGTCTCCAGCCACTTCACTGTAGACTCCCCTGCAAGATCTTCCAGGGTGACTGCTTGAAGGGGAGACTGGAAATTGCATTAAGATAGATTTATATCTCATTTTCAAAGCTGAAGTATGTCACCAAGCTAGTCAGCAAATTTTTCTGGTAGTTAACGTTTATGCACAGACACCAGAAAAGAAGAAACAGAAACGGCACGCTGCAGAAAGACAGTGTAGTGTTCATGTTAACAGTCGGACACCATACCACATTTAGTTCACTTTGAACTATATGGTGTTTTCTTAACTGGTTCAGTTTTCTCTGGTATTACAGTAATTCATATAGTCAGAAGAATAGATTAATTTAAACTAATTTAAACTAATAACATCAGCAGTCATTCTAATAACCAGAATGAAAGCTGTAGCTGGTAGATTAGATAATTGTTTCTTGAGGATTCCTCAGAATTAAAATTCAAATTCAACAAGAAATTCAATCAGTGGTACAAACCAAGCTGACTAATCATCCTGATTATTACAGAAAGGAGAGAGCGACTCTCCTGGTTTGTTAGAACAGTCAAGCATCCTTGTACAAACTGTGGGGTTTCTTCTCATCACAAGGATGAGATTCACTGCTGTGAATGAAGAATGGCTCAATTACTCACTAAAATATTGAAAACAAACTGTGATAAAATTGTGAATCCACAAAGTAAAACCTGTTGGATATTTTTTGTATTTTTAAGTTGAACATTTTTAGGCATGAACAAAAATTACTCAACATTTTTTTTTTCATCCAAAGCTGTCGTAGGGTACAGAGGTTGCTTTGATTTGGATAATAAGTCTCCAAAATTTTGCAAGGTCTGTTTGTACAAATAAATCCAACTAAAATGGAATCCTACAAGACATATTCTTTAATATATATGCAATACTATGAAATTCCCCAACCATCACCTATATTTATAGGTATGTCTTCTTAAAAAACCTATAAATATAGGTCTTGAAAGACCTATTCAGAGGTCTTTTTCAAGACCTTTGAATGCCACTCCAAATGACATCAAAAAGACCTAAAAAGATCTTAAATTTGACTTGATGAAATTTGCAAATACCCTAAGAATCCTAAATGTTGAATATTATAAAGAAGAAGTCAGCTTTATTGCTGGATGTTTCTATACTTGTCTTCAGTGTTCTCAAGACTATGCTGTGGGGAGGATTCGCACGGTCAGAGGTCATTTATGTGTCCCCTGTTTTATGGGCTGTTCTTCGAAGCCCATAAAAAAAATGCCTCCGATGTCCCGTCTCCCTCCCTGATGATACAAGTACTGCAAGTCTTCATGGCACATATAATGCAATGACCAAAGAGAGGGAATGTACAGGTGTGAAAAGCAATCTGTAGGGACAGGTAGTCAGAAGGTCAGACTGGAGCTGGGTCCATTGAAGTAGGTGGAAATGACACACATTAGAATCAATGTAGAACAATAAATGCGAAAAATCTGTTAGTGTACGTTTGGGGTTAGGTTATGTGATAAAATATAACCTAACCAATCATTAGTCAAATATTCTTATTAAAACCAAATATTTCTAATAAAACTAAGCTGTTCTTCATTGATCTCATGGCTATTTTGGGGAATTGAGGAAGTAGGGATTTGTCCTGTAACCAGTGGGTTGTTTTTCAAACTTCAATTCCATATGTGTCAGTCACTTTACCACTGTGTCCTTGAGCAAAACAAGTCACCTGCTTTGCCTGCTGTTAGTTGTATATTTTCATGAAAATGTTTTCTTTAATGTATTTGTCTGCTTATACTTGACTGTCCTTGTGTTCCATAGCACATGCTATGTCCCAATACTAACATCTCCCGATTGACAGATTAAATAAACAGAGACCGCCTCCAAACCCAGACTTGGTGTCCGCAGAAGTCCACCAGTCACACATGGAATGAAGCTTGTGATCCCAAAGCTTCTGTGTTTGGGGGGGCTAACCCTGGGACTCAAACTGCTGCTGCCCAGCAACATCTAAAAGCTCCACACATTTAGTTCTGCTCCACTTCCCTGTATGTCTTGGGTGGAGGGGTTGTTAAACCAGACAGCTTTCTAACATGGTGAAGCAGTGTAAGTGTGTGAGAACATGGATAATGTATGAACATCTGTTAGAGACTCTTCAGTTGAAGGGAGGTTGTTTAGCTGTAGCTTCACTACAGCTAATAGTCTTGTAAAATAAAATCAAGTTTGCAGGAGTTTTTTTGAAGCAACATTTTGTACTTTTAGTAAAAAACAGAATTGGTGCTAAGCATTTACTAACCTACGTGAGGGACTTTAGTGGATAACCTTAGAATGTCTTCCCTGATTACAAAATATGCATTTTTAAGCTAGACACCTTGCCTGTTATGTAACAAAGGCAGATCCCTGAAGGAAACACCACTATGTAAGGAAGGGTCAAATCAGAATCATTTTGTAGCGTCCTCATTCTCAGTTAGCTGAAATGCTAACATAAATTTCTCAGCAATAGAATACAAACTTACTGTTGAAGTAATTATGCCAACTACACACTACTCCAGGTCCAAGTGTGTTTCAGGTCTTCTATGTTAAAGCAAACATCAAGAACTTAAGTTTCTTTCACAAAATAGCTGCATTCAGAGAACCTTTCTGGCTTCTTTCCAGAAAGGTTCTGTGGATAAACAATACAATTTTTATAGTCTGAAGATACGAATTTGCCTTGAGATCACAAAAGTTTTTATTTTGTCCATCTATGATATCCAATTAATCTGTGAAAAGCTGGATGCACTCACTTGGTACCATGCTCAGGATGACACGAAGTCCCCCGTTATCCTGAAGTTGAGTGTCAACAAAATCTTTATGTTTTTAAGTGGGTGATGGTTGTGAAATGAATATGTTGCCCTTTTCTAATGTCAAAATTTTCTTTCTAGTTTTGTGTTTTGTAAGTAGATAAATACAGAGAAGCAAAACACTTTGTTCGAAAAAAACAATGAAATACACTCTTATTTTCCAGAGCAGAGTGATTTTTCAGACATCTAAATGATGCAAAACACTGTTATGTTGTATGAAGAATTACCTGTGTGAAGCATCAATGTCAGATTGATGAGAGACTTACATGAAATCATCATCATATTTATATAAAAAGTACAACCTATTTATTCATCTGAATAATAGTTTCTCCTTTTACACAGTGACATTCAGGAACTGCGATAAGGGAAATGTCCAACTGAAGGCTGCAAATACCTCTTCCTTCACTGTGAGTCAGGAAGGTGTGGTCTACACCATACAACCACTGAGCTTGGGAGTGGAGGAAAAGGTTGAAGTCATGATCTATGCTCAAGACATTCAGTCCAACAGAATGTGGCACACCAGAGTTCATCTTGAGATCAACACTGCACCAGAACAGGTATGACAACAACACACACTTCCCAAGGGTTTTACCAATGTAATTCACCACTATGACATCCCTATTTTACAAGCTGCCAATACTGATACCAGCCTGGGACCAACAAGGTGTTCATAACTTGGCAGTACAATTAATAACTATTTGCCAAATGATGATTATCAGCTCTAAAGCTTATAGACAGGAAAAGAAGGTTGGCTTCACATCCAGTGGAAGCCTTCAGTGATCACGCAGGGCAATCGCTCCACCTGTTTGCTGAGGAATGCAGGCTGCGCAGGCCTGTAACTGCTGTACGGCAGAGCCAAACGCCAGGGGTATGCAACCAAACACAGCAGATGTCTTCCACACAGCTCCCCTCTACTCTAAAACTTGGTGCAAACTATTCAGACCTATGATTTCCAAGTACAGAACACACAACATAAAAAAAGGTTTAAAGGTTTCAAACCCAGTATTCTCTGCACAGTTGAGTAACTCCAGTACCACTAACAATGTGTTGTGTTGTGTGAATGTGTTGCACACATACTTCATGTACACACACACAAAGGGGGTTAACAGGGTCTTAAAGGTTTTTGTGCGTTCCCACTCAAACTGCTCTCAGATTGATGCTTTGGAGTAGAATAGCAGCATGTTCCAAAGTTTCCTTCCAGCTGCCCCCATGCAGAACTGGAGGTGGGAACTACTTGTTCTAAAGGTTTTGATAATATTCAGCTTTTTCAGTTGAATTTAAATTGAGAGTCTGATTTACTGTCAAACAGTAAAAATCTTATTCTGTTTTTATTTTTTTACATTTTGAGTTTGTTTTGAGGTTTTGGTTTCTTTACTGAGTTTCAAAACAGATTCCATATATTAATCTGTATTCATCATCCAGATTACAGATATTATGTAGTGAACTAGGCATTTAACATCTAATTCAAGGAGTCACTAATATTTTGTATAAGTTTTTGTTAAATTTTAAAGTCCTTTTAAAAAAACAAGCTGTCAGTTTCTGTGCTTACCTCAGTCACAGTCAGAGAATGTCATCATGTGAAACAAGTGCATTTTCCATCTATATGCGTCGACATCCACAACCACACATCAAATCAAATCTTTCCCACCCCAGCGGGGGTCTGTGACTGGCTAAGTGTTAACTGCTGAGAGAAAGCCAGTCAAGCTGCCATCTGTTAGTTTCATGTACACCAGTGATAATAAGACCCTCTGTTTGCATTCAGAAAAGGCAGCAATTGACTGTTCCTCTAAACACAGCCCAGAGATGACTGACTACCATAAAGTTTTAAACCACACTTGCATAGCTTGTGTCAATTGGTGAGACTCAGCACAGAGGAAGAAGATGTCAGCAGATATCTGGATCATGTTTCAGACTCCGTCCGATGCAACTGTGAGGAGCAGGAACTGAAATTAATAACTATTTGCCAAATGATGATTGTCAGCTCTAAAGCTTACAGACAGGAAAAAAAGGTTGGCTTCAGATCCAGTGGAAGCCTTCAGTGATCACGCAGGGCAGTCGCTCCACCTGTTATACTTGAGATTTAACACAACATGACTGAGAGGTAAAGAATTTGCCAAATTCTTTGAGAGAGTGGATATTTTTATGAACTGAGCAACCTCTCCGAGCAACCTATGGGAAGCAACAAATGTTGCAATGCGCAGTAAAATAATTAATCGTATGAGGAGAAAACCCCAAAAGCAACTGAACTCAAAATGGAATTGCCCATAAATGCTTCAGAAGCTGCTTACGCTACATCTCAAGACGAAATCTTGCTAAATGAAATACAAAAACTAAAGCTACAAAAAAATTAAATAGAGTACTGGAAGCAAGAATAAAATGCAGAGGTATTTTAATAATTTAAAAATGCTACAATTTTTTAAATTTCCGAAAACTCTGGTGAATCAAATAAGTATAAAGTTACCAGAGGTAATTTACCTACATTTACCAAAAGTTGAAGCTCCAGAAGGTTTGGAACTCCCAAACTTTGGTAACTACTACCTGACACATAGATTACAGTATATATTAAAATGCATTTTGAGAAATCCACCAAGCAGCCTGTAGAGAGACTCTGAGCAAACATTAATGTAAGAAAATCTGGTGACCATCGCCAGTGTTCAATAGGTTAAAGGTAGAATTTAACCTGAACAGGTCACCAGTCAATCACAGACAGGTCAAACAGCCTTGTATGCACTCACAGATAAGGAGAATTAAGGAAGACTAATTAACCTGAAAGGTTTTTATGCGCTCCTACTCAAACTGCTCTCAGATTGATGCTCCACTTTGGAGTAGAATAGCAGCATTTCTTCTCCTGCAACACAAACTAACAGTCATGTTATTGGACTGTGGGAGGAAGCTGGAGTACCAGAAGAGAACCCACACATGCACAGGAAAACCATGCAAATTCCATGCAGAAAGACCCTGGGTTGGGAGTCGAACCCAAGACCTTCTTGCTGCAAGTCAAGAGTGCTATTTTGAAAACGAAAGACTAAAATATATCTCTGATATAGCCCAGAAATGAAACAACATACTCTGATGGAATTAAGGGTGGTGCTGTCCTAGGTGCTGAAAAATACAATCCTATCTTTAAAGTATCCAAGATTGCTTTTTATCTGTCATTCTAAATTAGATGATAGAGTTGGTGGAACTATTTACAGAGGGATTTTCCTTGTTTTCATGATGATAGCTGCTTGAGGTCATTAAACTCATGTCAGTGGGAGGTCTTTTGGGATAAACAAAGGCAAATTATGCTTAGACACCCAGACTTTTGCAAATCTATCTGTCCCAGGCCAGAAGGCTTTAGGGCCTTTTGAATGACATCAGACCTGTATTCATGGCAGACAGAACATCAGATCACACAGAAAGCCTGTTAGAGACATATTTGGAGGCAGCAACAAATGGATCAACACATTGTTTACATCTGATTTGAACCATTTTAATGATAGTATTTAAGGCAGCAGAGTTGATGTTTTTGTATGCCTCATAACACCTTATTCCTGTTGCGCCACAATCTAAAGTGGTCCTAATTATCACTGTTTTGGGATAAGCAATGCTTTCAGCGTCTCGGTACGAACGGTGAGTATGTAGTCCTCCCCTCTTTTTTTTCTCCTTCAACACAAACTCAGCAGGACAGAGAATAGGCCAACAGTAAATACAATTTTATTATAAAGTGATGCTTTATTTTCATAGCCCATTTCAATGTAACAATGTAATGTTACTCTTATAATAAACCCCAATATATTTCTCTCTTTCTGTGTTTCTATCTCCTTCTATGTTTGTATCTCCTTAACTAGATTTAACTGAGTCAACATATTTTGATTTGTAAATTCAGGTCTCATTATAGTCACAGGCTGTTCACAGAGAGCTGCCAGCTGCAGTGGAACATGATCATTTGCTCATTTATTAAGACTGTAATAAGATCGGTAATCCAGGCCTTGTAAATGAGGTCAAAAATAAGCTGAGTCAGCATATTTCTCTGAGTCTGCACTTGGTGTTCATGTGCACACTCGTGATGCTAAGGGTGTACTCTTCCTTGCTGACTGTCTGCAGGTAAAGCCTGGTGATACAGCACTGACTATATCACCAGTTCCAGAGGTCCTGTTTCCATGGCATAGCCTGGTTGTTGGTGGAGATGGCACCATCAGGCGGGTAAAGAGGGACTGGGTCATTCCACCTATCAACGTTCCTGAGAACTCAAGAGGGCAATTCCCAGAGGATCTAGTCAGGGTAAGACACACACACGCGCCCACAGGCACATGCACATGTATGAAACACACACCAAGACATATAACGTTTTTTTTTTAATTGCGTTTTTGTTAAATTGATTTTTCTATGTTGCAACAATACCTCTTGGCAATAAATCATGTACTGTCTAATAGCCTGTTTATTTTCACCTAAGTGGTGCCACACATTCTGCGGATCGGCAACATGTCCAGGGTGACCCCGCCTCTTGCCCGGAATGTTAGCTGGAGATAGGCACCAGCACCCACCCGACCACACGAGGGACAAGGGTGTTAGAAAATGGATGGATGTTGCCACATTCAGAAAGAAAATACATTTATAGAAGGATGAGCAGCAGGATGATAGAAGGATGAGCAGCAGAACTTTGTGTGGCTGTTCCTGGCTCTTCCTCACACTACTCAGACCTCTGTCTGTTAAACTGCCAGTATGATTTGTTTCTTTAACATTTAATCATTTAGTCCAATAGTCGGCACCAAAAGATGGCTAACAACTGTTAATATTGCAATTTGATTGCCTGGAAAAATTGTTACAATTTGAAATTTTCTAATTTTCTACTGTTTTCTGTGCGCACCAGAAACTTAAATACAAAATACTTTAAACAAAGCAAGAAACATTAAGATTGTAATGAAGTATAAGAATAAATATAAATATAGAGGAAAAAATAGTTTTCCTCTATACACACTCAGTAACGCTTACAAGCTTTTTGTGTCTTTTTGACCTATGTATAGTCATCTACATAGTGACTAGTGGCTGCTTTGCCAGCCACTAGGTCAAAAATCTGTCCATGGACTGTCAGCAGCTAAACAAAGGGAAGAAAAAGTCCTTTTAAATTAAAGTTTTTAGTATTGAGATGATTGATAACTGCCTGCAGAACAATGACTAGAGCAATGGTATGAAAGCATATAAATCCTTATGGTTATTGTCCATAAAATTCATGTCAGTACTATCAGTCCTCGCAAATATTCACACATTTTCTGAAGTCTCTATTGTTAAGAAAAACGAATGTGGATTTACCCCATTCCATATATAGACTACAAATAACTTTATTGTGCAAAGTCATGAAAAAGTTAACTTCAGTTTTGTGTCCCATACATCTAAATTGGTAATTTACAACATGGTAAAAATACTCACCTTGTGGAAAAACTCCATGAAATTTTAAAAAAGGTTGTAACACTAGGATGAAACAATAATTCTAAAGAGGACAAACTGAAATTCAATGAAACATAAAATGGAGGAGACACACAGATTGCCACGTGTAGTAGTTTAAAGAGGATGGATGATATGAAAGAAAAAAAACCTCAATAAACTAATAACATTAGTGCAGTTTTGCAAAAATGCAAATCAAAAACTCCAAAAATATTCAAAGGGACCCAGATGGGGTAAATGGCAATAAATTATGAGAGGAGATGAATGTGATTCTTTCATCTTTAGTTCTTCTTGTCCCGCACTGAAGCTATTGCTGCTTACCGATGAGGCTAACCAATCAGTTGCCAGCTGCATCACCAATCTGGCAGTAGAGCAGCTGGACCTGCCGCCAACCTCCAGCTGCTCATTGTTCAGTGTTTCATACAAGGATGGAAGATCCACTGAGCTTCAGCTACTTTGTCACTGTTTGACAGTTCCTGGATTTTAGTCCTTGATACACACATGGATCTGATGGACTTCCCACTTTGTACTGCCACAGACCTTAGGATCCAAGATACCTTTTGAAAACTAACTTATTTAAATCAGTGAACAACTTTTAAGGTGCCATGGATGGTTTCATTTTAGCTTAAGAAACTATATTTTAGACCGTAAAGCCTTTAAAACCTCAGCTGGTCTTATTTTTGCTCCCCTTCCTGTTTCCTGTTGTGTAGATTCGTTCAGATCGGGATAAGAACCGGATGCTGCGCTACAGTGTGACAGGTCCTGGTGCTGACCAACCTCCAACTGGCATCTTCATCATCAACCCAATTTCAGGCCAGCTGTCCGTCACCAAACCTCTGGACAGAGAACACATCCCTAACTTCCATGTAAGTCTCATTGCATGAGAGCAAAGCTTACTAAAATAATCATTTACAACATCCCTATATTTGTCGTATTACACTATGAGTAGGTGGCACAGTGGACACCTACAGCAGCAGAAGAAGACCACTCTTCTTCTGCTGCTGTATGTGCAGAGTTTCCCCCAGAAAACCTGCATAGCCCGGTGGTCAAGGCGTTAACGTGATTGAACCGGTGGTGCACCATGTTGTTGTATAACAACATAAGTTGAGAGGAAATATAAAAATATTTTATATTTTTACTATCTAAACCCACAACAAGTCTTAAAAATGAAATACAATTAAAATGAAAATCAATTATTTGCATTTTTTAATCCAAATTAAGTCAGTGGCATTAAGTCATCAGACCCCCAGGGCTTCAGGGGCCCCACAAATGCTAATATTTTAACAAAGTCCACAAATGCTGCTAAATTCGATTTAATGGCTTCACCATACATAAATTGAAATGTTTTAAAAATGTTTGTTTAAATTTAAGATTTTAAGTAGCTGGCACGTTTACTTTGTAAAAGTTCAAAGAACAATATTCATAGTCAGATTCTTTTATTACCATAGCAACACTCAGGCACTATGAGTTTAATCTTTGAGTTTGAGATCTGTTTGTATAATACAAATTAGTAAACTGCAATTATAATTTATTGCTTTTTAGGTTAGCCAATTAAACTACTCCCCCTCTCCCAGATTTCACTAAATCTAACACAGAAGCTGTTAGAGATGCTGATGATTTTAGCAGTATGAAGGGCCCCTAACTCAAAGGGGCCCTTCATGCCCCTCATACAGCCTTGGACAGCCCTGCATGAAGAGTTAAAACTGCTACACTGACCACAAAGATGCACAACAAACGGGAGATTTAACAGAAGAGTTACTAAAGCCACATGCTGCTAATGTGGCTTTAGTAACGCTTCCATTTCATGTCAGTTAGGGTAGAGTAAGGTTTCTGTGTTTTTAAATACACAAACTGTTGTGGTTGCCCCACTTTAAGGAACAAGTTTGTCAGATCTTTGCACCACTGCGCGCATTAACTCTGGCTACCTAAGTAGACAAAGCACGGTTCACACTGAGCTGCGCAACCAGAACTAATGCAGTGGGTTTTAAACTCTTATCTTGACATAGAGTTCTCTAAAGAAACATAATTCTTCACAGGGGGTTGGTGTAAATATCCATACAAGTCAACCTGTGTCCAGTTTGAGTGAAAGGAGGCGCATCCGATCTATGCTGAGATCAAGCAGAGGCAATGTGCGAGGAAATTTACAGAGGCGCCAGCTGTGTGAATGGTCCGCTCGCCCAGCTTTAAATGCATAAACTATAAACGTATCTCTCAGGAATAAATTTGCTCCGGCAGTGAAACACTAAGAGCAACAGAGACGCTTACAAACCAGCTTTAATTTGAAAAAATAAAAACAAAAATTGTAAAATACTGAGGAATTAAAGTTGAAGCCAGAAGAAGGTTTTATTGCTTGAAAATATGAACAGAGTTCATGCCTCCAGCAAGCAAACAATTTTCAGTATCTGAGGTCAGACCATCTGAACAAAGGGCTGGTTTTTACCAGGCTGGTGGAGTCCCAGTTTATTTATGGTTTAGTATTTGTGTATTCACTTATTCATTGACTTTTCCATAGAATAGAATTCTAAATCATTCACAGAAAACTTGTCCATTCATGGATTTTTTTTTTCTAAGAGCAGATCTAAATTACTAGAAAGTTAATGCTGTATGAAAAGCTGAAATACCTTGGCACAATGGTATCTGGCATTATATTGGCTGGTGTATGCAATGCAGCCAATCCAGAAGCACCATACATGTTGATGGATCTGCTCCTGATCTGCACAAAACACACACCGGCTCTGCTCTCATCATCTACTCCTTTATTGCCTCTTAAATGTGTTCTAAATAAGGACTTTGTTTTTCTCACTATATTTAATATCCAACAGTTTGCGGAGCAGAGCCTAACCTTCTTATCTTTTGGAATGTGCACACTGGGGATTGGAAATCTGGAGTCACAGCAGGGTATTTTGCATTTAAACCATGTGATGAATATTCATGTGACTGGATGTAGTTGTCAGTGCTCAGAGCTGAGATTGGCCTACATGTTTATTCATGAGGAAGGTTTTGCCTCTTTGAGCGCCCTGTGCTGATGCTACATTCCTTGTTAGGGAATGACTGATCAAGGCCAATCAATTAATAGTTTCAGCATCTTTGAAAATATTATGCTAAACAGCTATATATATCATGGGGGCCAGTATTTTTCTCACAGTTGTCTTGAATGTTGTTTTAGTGATTCTCTTAGGTTGTATATTCAGAGTCATATCTCAGAGGTAGAGATTAGACAAATCCTGCCCAAAAACAGAGTTGTATAAAGCATCAAAATCTACAAAGTAATTGGTTCAGTAGAAAAAACATTTTGAAATGACAGAGCCAGAGCAGTGCAAAACCACATATGTAGGGTCACCTGAAGAGAGAGTGGAGAACGGACACCCTCCTCATAGTCAGATACATTCCTAAGGTGTAGTGTTGCCAAAATGTTACATGCCGATTTCCAAAGATGAAATGCTGAAGATGAATCAGTACAGTATTTAGTTGAAATGTGTGCACATTTACTCAAATATCTGACATGGGGTATGTATGTGAACATTTTTTTTTACTGTATTTCTCTCCAGCAAGAGAGGTTTGGGGTTTACACAAAAATAATGGACATGAATAGTCTTTGTTAAATACTCGAGCTAGTTCATCAAGATTGGGGATAATTCTTTTGAAACACTGAGGTAAGATTGTTTGCTGAGAACATTTTAATGGCCATATCTTTTTTATCATATAGAATACATACTTTAAATAACTCAAAACTTCCTGGGGAGACTTGTTCCTGGTTTTGCCATGGCATTCATGTTAGGAATTTGAATGAAAGATACAGATGGAATATCTACTTGTGAGATTGAATTCAAAATACTATTTCAGGTGAGAAGGACATTTGGACATGCCCACATTTATTCCCAGTTAAAATGCAAAAATCATACACAGGTAAATCACATCAAACACATATGATTAGGACATTGTTACAGTACATTTTGCAAGAGATTTGTGCTATTGAAATTTTGTGCAGGTTGGTGTTTTAACCATTCTGATCTCAAATTAAGCCATTCCTCTACAAAAAATAAACATATATGTCTAGGACATTCATATAGACTGCCAACATGTCCAGGTCTGGCCGCTGCAGCAGGTTCTACCTGAACGTACATGTTAAAACCTAGAGCTACTGGGTACTGTTGATACAACAGTCCATGCCTCTGTAGTGACAAAAGCATTGCTCAAGTTCAAGTGAGGGTGTGCAAAGAGAAAATTGTAGTTTTCAAAAACAAACATGATGTTTGCCAAGGAGAACATGGACAAAAACAATGTTTTATGAACAGATGATAATTATTTTGTGCATCAGGACAGAAGGCATGCTTGGCATAAATCAATTACAGCATTCCAGGAAAAGAACCTGTGAAAGCTGTGTGCCAGCCTGTGCAACTGTGAAGCTATGAGCTTCTCATTTCATTGCTCTCCAATCTCTTCTGAAAGTCAGGAGCGGGGCGAGCTTTCCTGAGGCAGTTGTCACTTTCTTTTTAAAAGGTAATATATAAAATAACACTCACAAAACATTCAATATGTTTTGGGATGTCTGTCCTGATGTTTTAATATAACAGTACATGCCACATAAAGATGAAGAAAAATTAGGAATAGCATCTGAACAGGGTGTGAGAACTTTTGTCACTGTGCTCACCACAGCATTCACAATGACACTTGCACTAACTTTGTGACATAAGACAATTGAACAATATTTAATCCAAATACATTTAAATCTTATTAAGGAATTTTGTGCATGTAAACATAGCATACAGTTTAGTTCATTGTTCAGGTAAACACCCAGGTACCAATTAGAATCCACTCACGCAGTGTCCTCTCCCTGGATGTCCACCAGTGTCAGTGAGATGGGTCTGACTCTGCCTTGTGAAATCTTCCACCAGCTCCTTAGTTTAGCCTGCATTGACGAAGAGACAGTTTTGGTGGCACCAGTCCGTATATATTAAAGGGGAACAGTGGTAGTGGTAGCCTGTCACACATATAGCCTTGTGGAGCTGCATTAATATGTACTATAGGTATATCATCTTTCAAGAAGGATTGTCTTTCAAAACAAAAGAATGCAGCGATTGGGGGAATTCCCAGTATTTTGCATGATCCTCCTTGTGAATTTTTTATTTTTTTTATTTAGTTACGTGCCCATGCTGTGGATCTGAATGGCAACCAAGTGGAGAACCCCATTGACATCGTCATCAACGTCATCGACCAGAACGATAACAGACCAGAGTTTACACACACCATCTTCAATGGTTCTGTTTCTGAGGGATCTAAACCAGGTACAGTCAAACAATCAATCAATCAATTAATCAGTCAATCATATTTACACTGTAATTACAGTGAGGTTAGTCAACTCTCCTGCCTCAGGATGCAAACATCCTTAGGCACGGATGTTTGCATCAACCCAACAATAAATAGAAATATGGCATGGTCCTAAATGGCTTGGTGCTCAATGCTTTAAAATATTAAAAGAAATACAAAAAACCCAGACTCAAATACAGTAATCAAGCCTTTCATGGCTAAATTACACCAATCTTAATAATGAATTGAGGTTTTTTTTGTTTTGTTCTCCTTTTATATCATGGCAATTACATCAGATGATTTCTCATGGTACTTTACAGATGGATTTATTTGAAGCCCTACTCTGTGCAACTTCATTTCAAACATTCCATTTTAATAATATAGTCAATTGGTAAAAATATTTTAAGTAAACTCAGTTGATTTAATCAGGTTATTTAACTTTGCAGAGATCATTCATCTTGAACAACTGTGAACAAGAATTCAGGGCTTGAAGGTTTCTGTTTGCTTCTGTATCTGACAAGAAGTAACATTCACATCATGAAAAAATAGACATACCCTCTAAGCAGCGTGTGGAAAGCTGACAATCAGTTGCATCTGGTAAACTGATGACCAGTGTTTGAGCAACTTTGGCCTGGAGCATGCAGTTGTTTTAAAATAGTGCAGGAAAAACCAAAGAAATTACCTGAAGTAAGCTGTTGGTGCTGTTCATAAAACTATGAAAGGTTTTAAAACCATTTCAAAACTCTTTTAAGTTCCTCTCCTTTGAGAAATATTGTTTTACAGGTGGAAAGCACACAACTACCAATAATGTGTAGTGTGGATAGCCCAGCTTTAGTTTATATCAGCTTTACTTCATGATAAGAAGTTTTTTTAAAGAAAATATAAACAAACCAATGTTCTCTTTAGACTCCACAGGCGTCCATTAGTATGTCAAATGTAAAATTTATTATAGCAATATTTGTAAAATACTAAACGGGTCTAGTTTTTAACGGTTTCCAGAATAAAAACCTCCATTTATGTGCTACTTATTGCACATAAGTTAATATGAATTAATACACAGTACAAAACACTTTTTTCAGGATATTGAAATTGGATTTAAAACTCATCTAAAGGGGGTTGCATTCAAAAATTACCCGATTCAGTTTTTTTTCTGCAAAAAACTTAATTGGTTTGTTGCATCATGAATGTTATTGATATGTTCTGTACAGAAGTGTCTGTCACTGTTGATTTATTTATTTTTTTTTACCTATGACACACTGTAAAATATATGATCCGCATTTAGTTGTCTAATATTTTTTACTCTTTATGTCCAATAAATTTAGTGCATTTTAGATTTTTTACCTAAACGTATAACTCTGTGAAAGGTAAACTTAAAGTAGAAAGTTATGTTACTTTGTCAAACCTCCAAGAGTTGAATAAACTGGAATTTTTAGGTTTTTAGGTTTATCTTGTTCATGCAATTTAATTTACTCTAATGTAAAATAAGTCATTATTTTAACTCAATATTAGAGAAGTATGTGCTCTTTAACCAGGTGGGGGCAGTTTTTTTTCTTGCATATTGTAAAATATTTATTTGGTTTAAATTGCAGCAATAAGTTGAAACTCACAATTCAAAATTAATTACCTTAAAAACAATGTTTACACAACTTGTCTCTTGTTAACTTCCTGACCTTCAATTTCTGAGTTAAAACCAATATAATTTTCTTGCCGACCTAAATTGGCTTGTCAAGGCAGCAGCTGGACTTTCATTTCAATTTAAGCCACCTTCAAATGTTTTACAGTGTACCTACTTCTATGTTCCTGCAGGATCATTTGTAATGACAGTGACAGCAGTGGATAAGGATGACCCAAAAATGGCCAATGGAATGTTGCGGTACAAGATACTTTCACAGAATCCCCAAAGCCCGTCATACAATATGTTTACCATAAACAACAGGACTGGTGACATCATCACTGTAGCTGCAGGCCTGGATCGAGAGGTATGTTGGGCTTGTGTTTGAGTCCTGGTCCTGGCTCCTTTTTAATTTCTTAATTGTTTTTCATATGTAGTTGTTACCAATAAAACCCAGCCTATTTCCACTTTGTCACCAAAAACAGGTTATTATGCAACAATATTGATTTGGCTCTGAATAACTATTAATAAAGGCGAAGAGCAGTTATTATTAAAGTTTGTGATTTTTCATAAAAATTAATAAGTTGGAACACCACCTGATTATCAAGAATTATTAGCCAAACCTGCCTGGTGACATATGGTACTATTGAGCAATAATTGACTGAGTGAATTTGCGCTCTGGGGTTCTCAAACACCAATTCCTGTACACTTATACAAAATAAACATAAACAACTTCTCTGTAAAATCCACCAAAATATGGGTGGCAATATATCTGCATCAACATCATTAGAAATTCTATAAAAATGCAAACAAATACCTCTTCACATTTTTGACTGTCTTTGTTTTCTGTTTGGTTCCAGAAAGTCCCTCAGTACACCCTGATCATCCAGGCCACTGACATGGAGGGAAACCCCACTTACGGCCTTTCCAACACTGCCACCACGGTCATCAGGATCATTGACATCAACGACAACCCTCCTGAATTCACCACAGACGCAGTATGCATAAACACACGCACACACACACACACACACACACACACAGACACACACACACACACACCCACACACACACGCACACACACACACAGAAGTAATTATTTGGTAACAGAATGGAAAATAACACTTAAGCTCCCTGAGCTTTTATTCGCAGTGTGAATAGTCAATTCCAATATTTTCATCTCTCTAAGAAACTATGAAGAGCTTCAACTGAAAGATTGTTTGAAGAAGATGCCTTTTCCACTGCAATTTCTAGTAATAGTTGCTTTCAATATTTTTACTACAAAGCAGGATTTCATTGTTGTCATTCCAATGAAATGCATTGTGTTTGTCTTTGTTTCCAGTTCTTCGGTGAAGTTCATGAGAACAGGGTGAATGTAATTGTTGCTAACCTGACCGTGACAGATAAAGACCAGCCACATACGCCGGCCTGGAGCACAGTGTACAGGATCATTGCTGGAGACCCCACAGGACACTTCTCAATCCCCACTGACCCCACGACTAATGAGGGCTTGATCACTGTGGTCAAGGTAGAGTATAATGCTAAAACAACTCTCATATAGAAATTGTAAAACATGTAAATGTTTTTAATGACTTACTGTGTAAACTAATTTATTCACATATGGTTTCAAATGCATTGCTTATTTATTTGAAATACTGCAACTGCAAAATTGTGTTCTTTCAATATTATCAGAATACAAACAAATATTTTTGCGCATTTGTAGTAGAGATGCAGCTAGTGTTGCTTTCTAAAAGTTCTGGTGGTCTTACAATGTTTTTTTGTTTTGGTTTTTTTCAGAATAGAAGTCAAAATAAAAACTAGCCTCTAGAAATCAGCATTCACATCACAAATATTTTGGGAAGTGACAGAAAATGGATTATCTGCTTTGAAAAAGTAACTTTAATTGGAATAGTCCTTGAAAAAGTAATTCAGTTAGATTACTGACTACTTGATTTGAAAAGTAACTAAGTTAGATTACAAGTTATTTTTTTAGTTACTTTCAGCGGCTGCTAACAACAACACCACCTGTGAAAATTATATTGAGCTTTGCCAATACTTAATTGCAAGTTATTTTATAATCAGACTTAGCAATTGAAACTCTAAATAATTCTTGTTTTTCTTGCAACAAAATGGGCATCTTTCTCCTCCCTCCATGATCAGCTGTTCCTGTTGCATGGAAAAGGTGGTCACTCCCTAAGATGGTCAGGAAATAAAATGACATTAGTAAAGAAAACAGTAATCCACTCTAACGCACAGTGATTTGGATAACTTTAATCTGATTATTGTAGGCTAACTCATCACTCAAAAAAGTGGTCCAACGTCAGCAACACGTTACAAAATAATGAGTTCAGACCTCACTGCCTGCTGTTGTCACACCCACCAGGAGTATAAGATCAGACTCTGGGAAGCTCACTGAAGAAGGAAAAACTAAATTCCAGCATTTTTCTTCTGATACTTAATAGTGAAGTTGTTTTGATAAGGTTTTTAGTCAGAAGGCATTTGAGTTATTTTTTTTCAAAGACCATAAAACCCAAAAGGCGTAATGTATTGTACATAAATGTCCAAAATGCTTGAAAATTTTAGTAATACAAGTTTGGAAAAGTATGAATTGTTGCGGCAGAAAATTTTTGTCTTTGTTCTTGTGCCAGCCAGTAGATTTTGAGTTGACCCGTTCATACATGTTAACCGTGGAGGCAGAAAATGAAATCCCATTGGCCCGTGGCATCCACATCCCTCGTCAGTCCACAGCAACTGTGTCTGTGAGAATCCTGGACATCAACGAGAGTCCAGAGTTCAGTCCCAACCCCAAGACTATTAAACTGGAAGAAGGTCTGCCAGCTGGATCTTTGCTCACAACTTTCACTGCCCAGGATCCTGACCGCTTCATGAGGCAGACTATTAGGTAAGAAATCGCAAAGTAGCAAATATGTGGTGCACTATGAAAGACCAAAGAAAATGTACTAGTTGAATGAGTGTCAGGTTTGGTGTTTTTCTGTGTTTTATTCTGTTTCTGTGTCCTGAGTCTCCTCGTTGTCCTGTCTTCCCCTTGATTGTTCCCAGGTGTGTCTTGTTCCCTTGATTACCCTCAGTGTATTTAGTCCCTCCTGTGTCCTTTGTTCCTCGTCGGGTCCTTGTCGTACTTTTGCCTCTGTCTGCCGTTGTGTGTTTAGCCGCCTGTATGACCAGTTGCTACCGGCGTTGAGCCCTGGCTTCCGCTCAGCCGTGCTGCCTGGCCGCGGACTCTGTGTTTTTGTGGACTTGTTTTCATTAAATATTTCATTATTCACCATATCTGGGTCTCCAGCACCTGCCTCACCACCTCACTACTCCCCACTTCATGACAGAAGGACCCGACCAAGAAAGGAATTATGGTGAGGCGTAAGAGATACAGAGCCCAGATGGACCATGAGGACTGGATCCAGCAGCAGTTGGAGCTGGCACAGAAGAATCTCTACAAGGATGTGGAGATCCTGCCTTCTCCGCTGCTGCTGGAGGAAATGGGACTACCGTCGGACTATGACATGGCGAATTCACAAATTCACGCCCCGACAGCCACCATCAACGCTCCTCCGTTTCTAATTTCAGCCGGTTTCCAAATAAATTCAGAGGAATATTTCAATCAGCTCTTCAAGTTGTTTAAAAGAGACTCTTCCATGCTGGAGCTAGTTTTTGAACTTTATGATGAGTTCGTCCAGCAAAAACATTGGGCTCCAGTTCCAGCCCCAGCTCCATCCTCAGCTCCTCGTGCCGCTCCGCCGGACCCCGCTCCGGCTGCCGTTCCTGCTCCGCCGGACACCGCTCCGGCTGCCGTTCCTGCTCCGCCGGACACCGCTCCGGCTGCCGTTCCTGCTCGGCCGGACTCCGCTCCGGCTTCGGCTCCTGCTCCGCCGGACCCCGCTCCGGCTTCGGCTCCTGCTCCGCCGGACCCCGCCTCCGGCTTCGGCTCCTGCTCCGCCGGACCCCGCTCCGGCTTCGGCTCCTGCTCCGCCGGATTCCGCTCCGGCTTCGGCTCCTGCTCCGCCGGATTAAATTAAATCACTCTCTAAAAGTATAAAAAAAAACAAGGATAAAAAATAGTGTTTGTTTGTGAGGGATTGTCACTATTTATTGTTTTTGTCTATTTGAGATTTGTTTATTTGTTATGTTTATTTTATCATTCTAGTGTCTACTGCTTATGTGTGCCCTGGTTCACTCAGACTTTTAAATTTGTATTTTATTCTTTGCAACAGCAACTTTTTGAGCCACAATGCTGGGTTACTTCAAAACGTTTGGTTTAAATTGAGCCTTAGCAGTGTATACTTTTTAAAGCAACACATCAAATAGAGCTGTGTCTGGTGCAAAATCAAACAAAAACAACCAATCATTTTACTCTTCAGAATGAAAATGGAAGTGTTTAGATATAAAAACCCAACTGGAAGGCACCATAGCGTAGATGGTGTCAAGAATAAAAAAGAAAGTGATGTGGAAACAATAAAGCAACATCTCACAGTCAACGAGGTCATCCAAATGACCATCTGCAGGAATGGCTTTTGGATGAGCTTCTTCCATGTAACTGTTGGAAGAAGCTTGTGGAAGGAAACCGCAAAACTTTGACCAAAGTCATGCAGTTCTAATAAAATATTGTGCAAATCTATGTACATTTATGAATTTGAAGAAAGTTCAGTAACTAGACAACAAACGCTATGCCTTCAACCCTCTGTTGTATTTCTAAATAACTGAAATTATCCAAGTTCAATAGGCCAGAGAGAAAATAACACCAGAGAATAAAATAACATGTTCAAAACTTTTCAGCTATAATAAGACAAAACTTATGTTATTCATAATAATATTATGAAATAAATGTGAACATGAGCCTGCGCAGTTATTGGCTCATTAACATGCAAATCCTTTCTTGATGGATCCCACTGTTATTTTCTCAATGTGGGGCATTGAATGAATGGTGAATGGTGGACCCACTGTGTTCACAAAAACATACAAGTGTACCTACATTAAACCTCTCAGGCTCAAATTACTTGCAAAGACTTGCTAAGTTGTTGCAAATCTGCAACACCTGCCTGGAGAGGGTTAATGCTCAGGCCCTCAAAATGACAGTATGCTGGGCAGCTGGAGCATCCTGTTTACATATTTTTGTTTATTGTTTTGATGAGCTCTGTCAGGTTGTTGCTGCATCTCTGGTATTTCTTTATAAAACTGTCAAATTTCAGACAACACCCGGACAGAAGAATAGAGAGATGATCTAAATTATAGAAAAATCAAATTAAGGAAGCCCATTGTGATTTTTTATTTTTCGCATAAGAGCATGGATGAAAGTTTATGGCTTCATTAAAAACAAATCTATGTAGATTTAATTATATTGTGTTCAGATTAGTATTATATCCAATGAACATGCTTTATTAAGTTGTGATCGTCTCTTCCGGTCTCCAGGTCCTGCGTAGGATATATTCATTTGGACAGAAACAAAAACTGCTTCATATTGGCTTCTCAGGTTGCGTCTCTCTCTCTGACCTCAGATACTCCAAGATCTATGACCCAGCCAGCTGGCTGGATATTGACCCAGTATACGGAAGGATTTCCACCATCGCCATCCTTGATCGAGAGTCTACCTTTGTCAAGAACAACCTCTACAATGTTACTTTCACAGCTTCTGATAATGGTGAGACATGTGGATTGTCCCAATGACAGCAGAAGTTTATCTGTCTCAACTTGTGCAGCAGGGTCCCAGTAGTGTCTCAGTGGTGTCCCAGCAATGTCCAAATACTGGCTGAGTAGTGTCCCAGTACTGTCCCAGCAATGTTCCAATGGTGTCCCAGTGGTGTTCAAGAAGTGTCTCAATAGTAATGTCCCAGTATTGTCCCCACTGTATCCCAGTAGTGCCCCAGATCCATGTTTTCTGATGAAGTCAGTGCCATTTGCAAATGTATGCCAGAACCCAAGGAAGAGTTTGTTTTCAAAGATCAGACGTCAGCTTGAAAACCACAACCAGGTAGAGTTTGTTAAACTCTTCCTTGGGTGAAAAAATGAAAAATCGGCAGAATTTGCCCTTTGGCCCAATATGGCTGCCTCCCTGTACATTTCAGAAGGTATCTCGAAGAGATTTTTTTTCTTGATTTTTTGGGGGGGAGCTACCTGTATACCAAATTTCAGATATGTACGACTTATGGATTGTCCTATCTCATGTTAGGGAACGCTGTAGAGCAGTTTGGCCAACCCCCTTTGCAATTTCACTAGAATCCCAAAATTTTTGTTTTTTAATATATTTTTTTTAATATTTATAGGCCACCAAAAAGATGTGTACTTTGTTGAAAAAAATACTAAGAAATCTTGCAATTACAATAGGCATTCACAGAACTTCCCTGCTCTGATCTGATAACAGAAATAACATTTATTTGTGTTGCTGCAATTAGATTATTGCAGTCCCCTAGTTTGGAAAAGTTAACCCTTTCACGCATCTCAACATTGGCCTCCTATAAATTTTAGAATTTTTAAAAAAGTTTTTACTCTAACAAATGATACTACTGCTCACTGGCTTTAGAGTTTGTTTGAAGTCTCACACCCATAACTTAACATCAATCCAAGTGGAACAATCCACTTGGGAGGGAGTCTTTGACAAGCAAGTCCTTGGACTTGCTTGTCCAATGAGGGTTTCAGTTGACTTACATTATTATTTGTGCCACCCAGGGAATTCTTTTATTGGCTATTGTGGTGCTTCATTTTAGAGCTACCTGGTTGTGGTTTTCAAGCTGACATCTGATCTTTAAAAAGCCTATCCTGCCAATTCTGATTAATTATACTAAGAACTGTCCTGAATTAGGCTGCAGTCGATCTTCTTGGTGCATTTAACAGATCTGAAGTGGAGGAATGCAAAGAAGAAAAAGCTGACATTTCCTGATTTCAGTCAACAATACTATCATTAAAATCATTTCACAGATTTGAAATTTATGTGTAAATGACATAAATTTACAAAATAATTAGCTACTCTGTATTTTAAGAGAAACAAGTTTATCTCCAATGTTTTGTTTAATTTTTTCTTCAGTGAGAGGGATTCATTAATGTAGAAAAGCATGACCTGTTGGCAAGTTTGGATGAGTATGAAAAAATGAAAATTGACCATAGCATTCTTGTTTTCATGCTTACTTTTTTATTCTCCTATCTAAAGTATCTGAATTTCTAAAGAACAAAGATACTATTACAGTGATTTAACTTTCACTTAAAACCAGAAGTTTTCATATACTAAATAAAAGACTGACTTTTTTAGGTCAGATCAAACATATTTGTAATTACCAACATTATTTCTATTTGCTAAATTCAACAATAATATGAGAAAGAATATGTCAGAGATTTTTTTAGGAAGCTGTTGTGCCAAAAAATAAAATCATAAAAAGTCAAATTGGTGTTTGCAGATGCACACATATTCATGTTCTGAGACATTTCTTGAGGTCTGATGAAAGTAATATGGAACTATGTGGAATGAAATGTTGAAATGACATCCAAAGACATTTGTTAGGAAATCAAAGCCTGGGTGCAAACAGGTCTTCCAAGTGGACAATGACCCAAAGCATACAGCCAAAGAGCCAAAAAACAATCTGTATCTATCTGTTTTCATCCTTGTTGACATCTAAAATTGAAATCTTAAGAGAAGAGACAGAATGCACAGATCAAAATAAAATAGTTTCTGTTAAACATCCCTTGCATATTCACCATGTTAGACTGGACCTTAATGTAGTTTTAAGACTTGAGGTATAAAATTAAATATTAGTAGTACTCATGTTTATGCATTAATTTCTCAACTGAAGGTTAAAAAACTGTCAAACTATCTCTTTCGAAAAACTAAAATTGGACATGACTGAACTTTTATGGGAGATTACTGCTGAAATCACCAAAGTGGATAATGTTATCAGTGTTCTTCACATCATTCTGACATGAAAGTCTGTATGGAGTGTTGTGTTGTAGTGGCAATATGTCTTCAGTAGACAACAGATTGATTATCCAATGCTGATTCTTGGGTTGTTGCAGGATTACAACAGATCTCAGAAATCGTCCTCAGATCTGAAGGGAGTTCTTCCCTCTTGTTCTTCCCTCAACTGTGCTTTTAGGAAGTGGAGAGAGTCATCTCTGTTCCAGTGGAACATTGATGAAGAATGCCATTTAGCTCAGTTGATTCACTTGACCTAACACACACAGAGACTGCTGTACTCCGTGTCTTACTATATCTTCTGCCATTGTCATACACAGGGGAGAGATCATTGACCCCAAACCACATTGAGGCACATCAACTGATTCACATTCTTGCATACAAAGAAAAATTCAAATATATGCAGTTTTTAGACTTAGACTTATTGTCATTGCTCAAAGAAACATAAGTAAAATTGGCAATGAAATATTGTTTGGCCACCGGAGCACACACAGAAACACAAGTGTGACTTTAATTACATAATTAACAAATAGCACTGTGTTGTTAGATATATATAATTTAATATTTTCAAGTAGTCTTAGACAGTTTCAGTGATGGGACTATTGAGCAGTCTGATGGTCAGTGGGAGACAGCTATTTCTGAGTCTGGCTGTTCTGCAGTGGATGCTGTGGAATCTCCTGCCAGATGCCGACCAGATGAACAGACCATGGAGAGGATGGATGGAGTGAGAGAGGATCTGGTTTGCCCTGGCTAAGCAGCATCTGTGTGCAATGGTATAGAAAGGGAAGAGTGGAGACCAAATTATCCTCTCCACTGTCTTCACCACTCTTTGCAGGGACTTCCAGTCTGAGTTGTTGCTCCCAGACCAAATGGAGATGCTGCTGGTCAGCAGACTCTCAATGGCTTCTCTGTAGAAGGTGGAGAGGATGGGAGGCGGGAGGGAAGCCCTTCTCATTCGTCTCAGAAAGTGCAGGCGCTGCTTCTTTTTTTCACCAGTGAAGTGATGTGAGGTGTCCAGCTGAGGTTGTTTGTAATGTGAACCCCAGGAACTTAGTGCTGTTAACCATCTCCACTGCTTTGTCGTTAATGAGGAGTGGTGTGTGGTTTGGTCAAGATCTTCTGAAGTCGACATTGATCTCTTTTCTCTTGTTGACGTTCAAGAGTAGGTTGTTTATTTTGCATCAATTCACAAGATGTTGTACTTCTTTTCTCTAGTTCACTTCATTGTTGTCTTGAATTATGCATTATACTATATAATAAATAATGCATTCTCTGCATACCTACATATAAAAGTGTGTAGATTCACACTTTCTAACTTTAAGCTCCAGTACTTGATGTTTATTAGTTGTACTTTTTTTGTTCAATAAGAGACTTTTCCAATTTATTACATTTAGTAGCATGAAAACTGGATCAATGTACCACATATTTATAGACAGAAGTTTGCAGTTATTTAGTCTGTTATGGTGTTTTGAAGAGAATTGTTAAAAGGGGAGTGGTATTTATCATCCGTAACAAAATCATGCATAGGAAAGTATCCCAAGCAGTGGTTTTCTTTTGAATATTTAACTCAAATTCAAGTACGTCCTCTTTCCTACATGAAAATCCAATCTACCAAAGTTCTGAGAAGTGTGCTTGCTATGTTTGGTACATATTAAAGCTCATAATTTTTTTTTATTGTCAGGCATTCCTCCTGCCACTGGTACAGGAACCCTTCAGATTCACCTGCTTGACATAAATGATAATGCGCCCAATGTGTTCCCTCCTGAAGTGGAAATGTGTGAGAAACCAGATGCAAACTCCTTAAATATCACAGCCAATGACCCCGACTTGACTCCCAATGCTGGACCCTTTGTGTTTGAGCTGGCAAGTCGTCCATCAGATGTACGTCGCAACTGGACCCTCAGTCGCCTGAATGGTGAGTGCAAGATAAACTGTCTCAAGTTTCCAGGGTTTTGACATACATTAATATACCAGGCTGCTTTGATAGCTCTGCTCAATGGGAAAATCCATTCTTTGGTAAAAGATCAATGGATGGAAGCACTAATTTTGAATAAATTGATTACATAAATATTTAACATAATTTATCGCATTTTTTACATATAAAGGTATCAGAAGTGATACATCTGTAACTCTGACACACAAGAAACCTTTGCAAACAACAGCAGTTGACAACAAAGCTGCTTCTCTTGATTAAATGTTGGACAAGTCTCTATGAAATTAGCCTACTAGTGATGCTATCCAATTGTAAAATAGCATCTCAATGCTAAACATGTGGCATCAGCACAGACGTCCCCAACGTTAATGTCACTGTCTACAGTCCACATTTCTATAGAAGTTCTAGGAATGATCAGGAGTTTCTGAAAAAAGATGAATGGATAGAACAGAACTTTACACCATATGATGGTGGAAGAACCTGAAGAACAAATTAAAAACAATAAAAACAGGGTTTCCCCCAATGTATTATAGCCATGCTTTGCTTGCCCCACTGCAAGGCTTGGCCAGATTGCAAGCATCTCTGTTGCTCTGAGGATTCACTGGCAGAACATATTTATTCCTAAAAGATATGTTTAGAGAACACAGGTGTATTGTTCATGCATTTAAAGCCGGACCAATCGTCTCTGCTCGTTGCCTCGCGCACTGCAGCAGCTGGATTAAGTTAACCTCTTCGCAGAACGCACGCGCCTCCTTTCACTCAAACTAGACACAGGCTGACCTGTATGGATATTTACATTAACCCCCTGTGAGGAATTGTGTTTCTTTCCAGAGTTTTTGATCAAGGTAGGAGTTTAAACCCCACTTAGCTCCGGGTGCACAGCTCTACGTGATCCGCAGGAATAACTTATACAGTATGATTTATATTTGTGGACGAAGAATTTTGTGTGGCTTTTCCATTTCAACATGCTGCACAGCGTATGTTGAGATGCGCTGGACTGGTAAAATTGATGTATATGTTCCAGGTTGACCGGTACATTAGTGATTAAAGAACCAGCACTAATCTCATCATGCAGGTTCAGCCTGGTGATGAGCTTTCGTGCTCGCCTCTCAGTCACGCATCACGCTGGTTTTATATTATTTTATTATTATTTTCATATTATTTTTCCAGTTACATGATGCATCAAACCATATCAAATGCTTTGTCCACTTAGTCAGACAGAGTTAATGTGCGCAGCTGCGCGGAGATGTGAGAAAGTCGACCCATAAACTCGAGCAACAGTTTCTGTGGCCCTTATTGAAAACTCAACAGACACAAAATGGAAGAGCTACTAAAGTCACACTAGCGGCATTTAATTAAATCTCCCGTTTGTTGAGCATCTCTGCGCAGTGCAGCAGATTGAACTCATCATGCAAGGCCGGTCCAAGAGTGCAAGAGGTCTGGAGCAGAATTTGACTTAAGGGCCCCATTTGCTGCTAAAAACATCAGCACCTCTAACAGCTTTGTAGATTTATTGATATCTGTGATATCAATAAATCTACGTAGTTTAAATGTCCAACCTAAAAAGCAGTAATTATAATCGCAGTTTACTAATTTGTATTTGTAAACAGAGCTCAAACTCAAAGATTAAACTCATAGCATCAGACTGTTGGTATGGTAACAAATCAAACTGAAAATTGTTCTTTGAACTTTGACAAAGTCGACAAGCTGCATTTACTTCCTAACTGTCATCTGCATTACATGACGTCACTACTATGTCATCTGTAACCCAGAAATTCAAAGCAACTCAGAAATATTAGAGAAGAAATGTTGCAGATAAGGAACTGGTTTTACTTTCCTGAAGCGGTTAGAAGCAGAACTTTCATATGGACACGAGGTCTCAGACAGAGTAGCCACAGTGCTCCAACGTCTGTAAAGCAAATAATCCCCAGTTTGTTAAATAGCTATCATCACCACACTCATGCAATGGTGGGCATCTCAGTGGAAAAGTCCTTCTGTTTCTTTTATCTTTCCTCCTCATATCATATAATCTCATATTATAGGCGAGTCCGCCCAGCTTCACCTGCGGATCAGTTCTCTTGCCAGTGGCATCTATGAGCTCCCCGTTGTGATCACAGATTCTGGCAATCTGCCTATGTCTAACACATCCTTCCTGAGGGTCAAGGTCTGTCCCTGTGATCGCCATGGAGACTGTGTGGACATGGAGAAAATGATTGCCGCTGGATTGGGCACTGGTGCTATTATCTCGATCCTCATCTGTATCATCATACTATTAGGTGAGTGTCTCTTTTAAAGACATTGCATATATGACCCCTGACTGGTCAAGATTATTAAATCACTTTTATAACAGTTATTTTACTTTCACTGATATGATGCAAAACTGATTTACTGAACTAATGTCACTTCATTTTTAGAAAGATGTTCTATTCAGATTGAGCATTTATATGTTAACTTAGTTGATTTTGTTGTTGTTGTTTTTCTCATAAAATAATTTAATGGTCTGAGTATCCTATAAAAGTAGGATTCCATCATTTTTGACAGGCTCTGAAAGCACATTGCACTGGAACCAGATCTAATCAATGAAAAGTAGACACTGTAAACCAGCAGTGACCAAACTTTACACCACATGTCTCAAAACCTTCAAGATGAAGGTAATTGTGGGCCATAAAATGTAGATATTTTTTCTACTATATTTTTATTTTCTTTGCAAAACATTTCCCTTTCACCTTGACTACCATAATTGTCAATAATTGTAATTTGGATAAACAAAACACAATATTCTAATAAATAAAATAAAGTTTGATTTCTGTAGAAAATATAGCTGCAGATCATTCTACATCTGAAACATGAATCTGCACAGTCCTAAATGCTGATTGTCATCTGCTACCTTTGTCTGGATTTTTCCGTGTATGTATTCTAGTCACACAGGCCACTTGTTCTTCCAAAAAACTTCTTAATCTTACTTTAGTCTACCAAATGGGGCCACCAAAGTTTGTCCTTGAGTAAAAATAACTGGGTGTGTGAAATACTATGAACTATGACTATTGAAAAAAGGTTGATGAAAGGTCATAAAAAAAGTGTTTCACCTTCTACTTTCAGAAGACTTGTAATTGTATTTGTCTTTTTCGAAAGGCAGTGAAAAAAAATCTTTGTAAGTGTGTTTTCTTTTATAAAAGTTTTAAAACTCCAATCTTAAACTGGAAACAGAGTTTGTTCATTCTTTTCTCTACACCCTGATGTAAATGATTCCAGACCAAGTTATTTAAACTGGTTTTATTAAACATTACATCTTTGTCATTTTCAATCAGCAGAAGCTTGGCTGGATGAAACCATGACACCATACTAATGGAGTCAATGCCGCCTACTTATATTTTGTTCATGGGTGTGTCATGGGATACTACGTTATTTCATGAGAGTTTCATATTTTAAAATTTGCCATCCTAAAGAAGAAATAACTATATTGAAACTGTCAACAACACAATGCATGCATGTTCATGCAGGAAAAAGCAATTCTTCAAGTCAATCCAATCTGCTGGGTTTCCTTGAACAGGAAACATTTGGTAACAGATTGGAGGAGAACACTAAACTTGACTGCATTGTTTGATAACTGGGATCATATGGAATTTACATATGATTAGAACAGATTGATTACCTGGGTTGTCAATTGGCACTAAATAAATTGAATTGAATTAAATTGTAAAACAAAATAACTGGATTCCAAGTCGACTTGAAAATTAAACAACCATATTATACATTTTTATTGTTCATTCTGTACATTCTGTAAACCCATCCATCCATTTTCTAGTTTGAAGAAAAAAAGAATGCAAGTGTATTAAAGTGGGATCAGGAGGTGCTGGTGCTTATCTGCAGCAAACGTTCCAGGCGAGAGGCTTGGTACATGCTGGACAGGTTGTCAGTCTGTCGCAGAGCAACACAGAGACAGACAGGACCAACAACCATGCACACACACACACACACAGCTCGGGAAAATTTAGAGAGGCAGTCATGTTTTTGGACTGTGGGAAGAAGCCAAAGTATCCGGAGAGAACCCACGCATGCACAGGGAGAACATGCAAACTTCGTGTAGAAAGTCGGCAGGTTGGGAATGGAACCCAGGACTTTCTTGCTGCAAGGCAACAGTGCACCACTGTGCAGTCCCCTTTCTGTAAACCATTCCTACAAAATAATCAAGTTTGAAAATGTATATTTAAGCCAATAATTTGGATTTGAATTGTTATTCACAACTAATTCGGATCTTCCTGATTTCCAATTGTTGTTCTGGCCAGAAATAAATTGAAACAAGTTAGAGCTCAGGAACAGTTGCTGCAGTCTGTTAGTTTTTTATTTTGCCAAATGTTAAATGCTTAGATAAAAATACATGTAAATACTAGGGCAAACACACACAGCTTTTTTGTTTCATAAAGCACTGAATCCAAAGTAATTTTAGCAGAACGTTAAGACTTCAAGCTGATTTATTATGGATTAGATTCTTAAAATGAAAATAGTCTCCTGTTATCTGTTGTTCTCTTTCTCTCTACTGGGTTTCTGAGGAAGTTTAATTCTTTTAGATTGCACAGCAGGACCCTGCCCCACAGCCAAAGATGTTCACTGAAGATTGATTTGTTTCTCACATTTAATAGTTTCCTCATCCGTCTTGCCTTGTAGTGCTGGTACTCCTCTTTGTGATGTGGATGAAGAGGAGGGATAAAGAGCGTCAGGCCAAGCAACTTCTGATCGACCCAGAGGACGATGTCCGAGACAACATCCTCAAATATGATGAGGAGGGTGGTGGAGAAGAGGATCAGGTAAACACAAGCATGACTCTCACATACAAACACATTGTCTACAAAAATAGATTACTTTTTTTTCCTCCAAAGAGTTTTTGCAGCGGTAGTGGCTTGTATTTTTGACAGTAGGCAGACAGGAAAGAGTTGGGGGGAAGACATGCAACAAGGGTTGCCGGGACTGGGAGTCGAACCCGCGACGTCCACAATGAAAGCCTCCAAACATGGGGCGTGCTAACCCCCTGCACCACCACAGCACGCCCCATAGATTACTTTTCTTAGTAATCCTGGTTAAAATACCACTTCCCTAACATCAAATATTCACTTTCAAACAAAGACACACAACAGAAAGCTCTATAGCTGACACTCAAACACCATAACTTTCCACAATTTGCAGTCTTTTGTCCAAAGCAAAGATTAAGAGTAGTACAAAAGGGGATCTTGAAACAGGATTAATTGCTCTCTGTTGGACAATTTTGTCTGTCTTTCCAAACAACTTCTCACATAAGCCGCTTTACATTTCTGCTGGGTAAACACTAACCCTCGCACACACAACAAATTGGTATGCACAGACATCATATGTCATCCACAAACATCTCCTTCAGGAAAGGAAAGGGCACCCCAAAGTAAAATGTGCCAACCCTCAATAATAGTAACAGATTTAGCCATAAATCTCTTCTACCTTGAAACATGTTTTATCCAAGCAAATGCAATATTTGGAATACACTAATACAACTACAAAATAACTTGTCTGTAACTGGTGGTGTGGCTCATTTACGTTAACTATGTCAAGTTGCAAGTGGACCTGCCAGAAATTAAGCGATCATGTGTGAGATTTAAAGGCACGCAGCACACATTTTAACTTTTTCACAGACGTATGTGACATCAGTCTCACTGCAAACGTGACTACTCAACATTTATAGTTGCATATAACCTGAAAAAGAAAGCAACCCATTTAATTTTCATTCACTTTAATACACTTGCATTCTTTTTTTCTTCAAAACTAGACACCCATGCTGCCCCTTCACAAGATGCTACCCTGGGCAGTTGGGCATGTCACCCATATCAGGAACTCTTTCCAGCTTCTTCTTGTCACATATCCTGGGAAAACCATTTTTCTTGTGTGGTGACCAGTAACTACCATACAGTGGGAGAGACCTAAGATGACTTGTCTAGAATTCTACATTTGAGTTCTTGTAACATGTCCAGGCTAAAAGAACTCTGTTCTGGTTTTCCTTCTTTGAGTCAAAGGCTACATTTTTCTGCTTCGAAAGATTATGTATTGCTGTTCAAACCTGAGTGAAAGACATAAAACCATATAAGGCCAGATAGGTGCCTAGCCTCAGTTCGAATAATATTTTCGTTGGTCTTCTTCTGCTTTGTAACAAAAACTTTCAGAACCTCAAATCTGTTACGACCTAAGTTGATGTACATTCATGCCTTTAGCCACATTTTAACAATTTGAAATATTTAGAAACCCATCTTATTTGGCACTAATGTGCAGACAAGAGCCAGCCAGTGACGGTTGGCGAGCCCAACTGGCTTAAAAGGAACATACAAAGAGACGTACTACTGCTCACTGCAAGGAGGAGTCTTTCCACACACAACCATTTAGAAGACAATAGTTCTAACCTTTGTTCAATTTTGAGGGAATTTTCAGAGTTGACAAAGCATAATATATTTGTCAACTAAAAATATTGACATTAAGGGATTTTTATAATCGACAACATTGACAAACTGCAACAGCAATTGTTATTTGTGGGTAAGGTTAAATGATAGGACGCAGATAGCCTGTCAGATAATGGGCTGATGAACGTAATGCAGGAAAGAACTGAGACAGCATACGGGTTATAATTTAATACCGTACTGCAACAAAATGATTGTGACTATGAAGCTCTCATAGTAAGCAGATTATGTACTTAAAGTGAGACGTTGGTGTTGCTGTTTAGTTTTTAAGATTAAAGATCATTAAAGTAAATGGTAGGACCCCATGCTTTTTCCAGAAAACATGTTTTGAGGGCTAATTTGCAGTCACTTAATACACAGGAAAGTATGTTGTGTAATCCTAATCTGTAGATATTCGACTCTTATTGGGCATTTAGGACTATGACCTGAGCCAACTGCAACAGCCTGATGCCCTGGAGCCAGAGTGTGTCAAAGTGGGGATCAGACGTCTGGATGAGAGGCCCCTCCACCATGACCACCAGTACCCCGTCCGCTCTGCTGCCCCTCAACCAGGAGACATAGGAGATTTCATCCATGAGGTATGCCATTTGGTTCAATTTGTAATGATTTACATGTTGAGGTAAACTGAAGTAGTGTTTCCATCAATGTTTTTACATGCATTTTATCTGAAATACCTTCCTCAGTTTTGTAAAAATAATTTTCTGGTTAATGGCTTTTCTGAAAATTACCCAAAAAAAAACAACCCACAAACGTATTCATTCTCTCCTCTTCCAAGGAGAAACTTTTGGCATTTAAGTTCTGGCATAGTGATCACAGTCTAAACCTCCAGCAGGAGATGTGTGGTCAGTACTAATTTGTAGCTTATCTTATTTATTATAGCCAGGTGTAGCATCAACAACTGATTAAGCCTGCACTCCAAACAAAGAGATTGAATTGCATCATTTTAAAGGGGCAGCATTTTGTATTTTCCAGGACATCGTGCCATTTTATAGTACAATCAAGTTACCCTCGGTTGTCATAAGAGCATTATACATACCAAATACAACTTAAAAATAATTTAACACCTTGAAACTCTGCCTTCTGGAAGTCATCACAACATGGCTATTCATGGCTATTTTATCAGTGTTGCACTGAGAAGTAGCTCCTATTTTGAGATGAGATGCTGAGTTCCATCATGTGTTTGCTAATTGCTGCTGGCTAGGTTGAAGGAGCTGAGTGGGGAGTTGCAGTGGAGGGATGTTCTGAGGCAGAAGCTTGGAAACTGCAGTTCTGAGGAGGAGCTGTTCATTGAAGGCAGCGCTAGGTGCACGCAGGCATTTTGCACAGCTGACTGGTTACCATGGGAGACTAAAGACTTAATTTCCCATGGTGATAGATGCATGAAAGAATCAAGACAACACTCCAGGTATGGCTTTGATGAGGAAATGATATAGCATGATGTAAAGCTTAAAAGTTGATTTTACATAATACTGCCCCTTTAAAAGTTAGCTCAAAATTCACTACAGTTGGATAAAAACATAACATGAGAGCTGTAGAATGTTGGGGTGCTGTGGTGACACAGGGGTACAACACACCATGTCATAAGTTCAAGCCCTGACATGGTGACCATCTTACCCCTCTCTCATAACCACTTTTATGTCAAATAAAAGCCACTGGGGCCAAAAAGAAACTTTAAAAAAAAATTGTAACCCAATTTTCAAAACCAAAGAGGCCACACAGAAACCAGTTTCACTTGCCAACATTTAGATTTTAAACAAGAAATTTACCAAGACCTTTGGGATCAATAAAGTATTTTTAAATAGTATTAAACAATAACATCATCATTGTTCATATAGTGAACTCCAATCCAGAATCAGCATTCTGGGGGATGTAAGGAGAGGGAAAACTTTAGCTCCTTAAACTGTCTTTGGTTACCTAACAACAACCTGTTGAGTAACTTGTGCAGGAGCAGTTTCAGGTTTCATTATGGTGCCTCATAATAAATACAAAATAGTGTGGAGAGAAAAGAGAAACGAGAACTGGAGAGCAAACTGTGAATAAAACAAAAACATTACAGCACCATTTTAACAGTATTTCAGATATTTAAAACAAAAATAAATTAACCCATAATTATCAATATTGACTGATATGAAAGCCTTAAGTAGTAACATGTTTTTCAGCAATCTCGCCCCGCCCTAGCTTTATGTCACATTGACAGTCTACATTCTTATTTGTCCTCTCACATGTTGCGATATCGGACCAAGACAATAAAACATGGCGAATATCCTTGATTTTGGATCAGAGCATTCCCAACTACCCTTTGAGTGAACCAGGTCATTCACACTACATGCAACAGAAATATCCTGATAATAGGGGTTCCTCAAGATTGACATAAAGTGAAAACCGGGACAAAAGTTGACAAAAATCTTACTGTAAGAACCCGGTATCACATTTGCCCTAGCATCTGAAATCACAGGACAGATATCTGGCTGTAATGCATAGCTTTCAGTGCCAACTCCCCATAACTACTGGCAAGCAACGAGAAAGAATGTTAATGATTTAGGCTAGTTTGGGACCTTAGGACATTGAAATCAGTAAATCAGTTCTGATTTCAATGGTTTTCACCTTTTGACCCACCTGCAGAATCAGAGTTCAAATAAGGAATTGGTTTTATTTTCAGAGAAACAAACAACTGACAGATCTTGATCCTCCTGGAGGACGGAAAGAATCACATGATCAGTGGCGTCTGGAATGAGAAAAGCTAATGGTGGGCAGAAATAAGAGAGCTTACTTTATAATGATTCAGAGTGAGGCATGGAGGAAAAGATGGCCAGGGTCCTCCTGTGTGGAGAATGGTTGATGATGAATCCTTAGACCCGTGCGAGGAGTGTGGTTACACAGAGACCCAGGGGTCTGATGGAGCTAGATGGAGAAATGAGGAACGGCAGAGCAAGCACGCGGGTAACTTGAAGGCAAGCCCTACAGGAGGAAAAACAGTGAAACTGATTCTTCTTGGGAATCCAAGGAGACAGCCTCGAGACAGCAAACACAAGGACTGTAAATCTTCTAGCAAATGCACAGGATATAGTGAACAGCTTATAACAGGTAACTACCAGACAACCGGTAAACATTAATCATCCAGCACTGAGTAAAGACTCTGCTCCTTCTTTATTCCCAGCACTGATGAGGCTCCACCTGTGTAGGCTGCCCAGGTTCTCCACTGAAACCTTCACTGGAAAAGACGCATCGCTCGCATGCACACACACACATGCACATACACACACGGGAATCCTGACAGTTTCCATAGCACTCTGGAGTCAAGTAGGTTATCTATCTGACAGCTGAAGATTGCCTCAAACTAAGTAAACAGTTGTTTATGATTATATAAGCCATTGAAGTATGGGGTGGAGTTTATTTTATTTATTTATTTTTTAAAGAAATGCAAACAATCCAATATGTCGCAGGGGGCTCGTCTGATGTGGAAAGACCTGGCAATGTCCAGCTCATTTGTTGTCCTCATACAAAGTGAAAGACAATATGCTGTCCCTGAAGCAACTATGTATGTGTGCTGGTGGCTTAATTTCAGGCCAAACAGGGTAATCGGCTGAATCTACACACAGAGACAGCATCTGTCCAGCCTGACCCAAATCCTCCTCTTTCCTGTCCTCCTCCATAATCCCTTCTTCCCCCTCAGCTCCTCCTACTGTCTGTCTCAACACTTTAACATACAGCCCTCCAAATTTTCTTGTTTTGAATGTTTTTCTGTAGAACTGATGGGTCGATATGTGGTGGGTTGTGGGTGGGGTGGGTGTTATAATCCAAGTTGTTAGCTAAAGTGCTTCTTTCAGGGGGTGTCAGTCAGTCTTCAAGGGTTGTCCAAAGGGGTGTTATGCTTTCAGATCGATATTCCATTGCTCTGCTTTGTCATGAAAGCATGAACGCTGGATCTATAATTGTCTTAACAGCAAAATTCTATAACTATTGGAATACTTTAATCCTCTGCTATATGCAGTAATATTCTGGTTGCTTGCTCAACAGTAAAATCTCATCCCAATCCAGTGGAGTTTAGCTTTATCTAATAAAAGTTGACAGTTTGATAATTGTTCATACAAGTGTAGTAGTGTAGCTGTCAGATGTAGAGTTGAGGTTAGTACTCAAAGGATTAACCTGTGACAAGAGGCCACACACATGATCACTTTACATCAAACCTTGTGTGTGAAGGTCTTATACTCTGGGTATTGGGTGTAATGGGTTGTCTCCATTTGAATCCAGTGAGGCCTTAAAGCTCACTACTTGCCAGCCTTGTGTTGCTGTTTAATTACTATATGTTTAGGTTGCGTGAGGTTTTCTTGTAAGTTTTAAACTGTACTGTTTTGAATTATGGTTACAAAGTTCTAGTACCATTCCACTACCAACATGCGACAGATAGTGGGTGTTTCTGCAGCAACACAACAGGCAAGGTGTCAGGCTGGGGAATTTAATAGCCTTGTGAATTTAAAAAAAAACCTCATCATAGAGTCATTCCTCTCTTTGGCAAGTGACTGTTACAATTAAATGAAAGAATGCTAATTTTTAATAATACTATTTAGTCACAATATTGGGGGAGGTATAAATAGTGTAAGAATGTGAATCAGGCTGTTGGTGAAAACCGCTTACTGTATTTTCTGTTGCTTTGCCAAGTCTTTTTCTGTCTCCTTCTCCCTGCTAAAAGGGGTAGCTTACTCTAGAGCCATTTTCATAGCAACACACTGAGTTCCCTGGATGCACATTTTTCTTACTTCTTTGTGGATTCTTTCTTTTCAGGGCCTGAAGGCTGCAGACCATGACCCCACAGCTCCCCCTTACGACTCTCTGTTGGTGTTTGACTATGAGGGGAGCAGTTCTACTGCTGGCTCCCTCAGCTCCCTGCACTCTTCATCAAGCTGTGGAGACCAGGATTACGATTACCTCGGCGACTGGGGACCACGTTTCCGCAAGCTGGCCGACCTGTACAGTGGAGGAGATGACTAGCATAATCGGCCCTCCACTAATGGATCCCATCCTACAGTCCTTGCTGCAAGTTTTAGGTGGTGGGTGGGCTAAAACAGGAAATATTGGATTACATTTGGGTTTTTGCTCAACACTTCTGTATTTCAGTGGACCAGCTTGTTTCCGGGATCTGCTGCCTCTTGAGGGCCATCAATGACAGCAATGGACGATGGTGACTCTTGGCCTAGCAAGGCCTCCCACTGATGAGCATCAATGGGCTGGATCTGAGAGTTAGCTGTTGTGCTTCTAAATGTGTGAAGACTGAGCTCTGGCAGCCATACTACAGATACTTGCTGACACTTGAGTCTTACAGTACAGCAACACTGGGGTAAAATGTGCCTTTTTGTGCATTGTTTTAATTGTGTTCAACTTACTATGTTAATTTAAAGTTCCTTAGGGTTTTGCAATAGCAACTACAGGGGCACATCCCATTATGAATGTGTGTGTATTAATAACCCCCTTTATTATTTGTATTATTCCGTGTGATGGTGCGCGCGTGGGTGTGCATGTGCGGGAGAGAGACAGAGGAAGAGCGACAGAGAGAAAGACAGGGTCTGTGAATCATTTCTATGACACTGGAAAGATTATTTAAAGGAAAAAGTCTACTTGGGACGTTTTGGATGATTTTACCAGCAAAACATGGCTTTTCTGTGCAGCTATGTGTCCTAATAGCTCTAAGGAAGCACTGCAGGGTCATTCATGACAACATAATGATATTCATTTGCTGTTGGGTTTTTGTTTTGCCTTTTTTCAGTACTAGAACTGTTTAAAAGCATAATCTTTTTGATTAAAAAAAGTCATTGAACCAAGATATTTCTATAAAGCATATATAGACAGACACAAACAAATTTTTTCTCACTATCTGACATTAAAGCAGATAAAACCCTTACAGATGAAGGACCGTTAGGATTACCAAAATTATATCTGTTCTCAGATCAATTCGTGGATTTTTACCTTTCTATAGACAAGTTTATAGAAATTTCCTTAGGATTTTGGAAAATAACATCTTAAAAATTTATGATTTGGGTCAAACGTTTCCGTCCAAAGTGTTGCTCATTCCTCCAGAGAGAAAGAGGAAACTGAACCAGGTTTGAAGATTGCTCTGCTTACCCAATTATCTATGCATTATCCATATGCATAGGATTACCATCAACGCTTTCATAATGGCCTCATTAAAGCAGTGAGGTTGGGGTCCTTTAGTGACTTTGCAACATCCCTTGGGACATTGTCCACTTGGAAGACCCCAGTGCTCAATGTCCCAATCTTCAGCTTCCTTGTTGATGTCTTCAGGTGTTGCTGCAAAACATTTACAAAATGTTCTTTCTTTCATTCATGTTCAAAGTGCATCACTCCCTCCTGCAGTAAAACACCCACACAACATGATGCCATAAACCCAGCACTTCACAAATGAGATGACGTCGTCTGGCTTGCAGACTTTCTCAGTCTAATAATGTTCATTAGGGCTGAACTCTTCAGTCTTAGTTTAATGAGACCACACCTTTCCAGAAATGTTGATCTTTGACCCAGAGTGCATTTGCAAATCTAATCTGGCTTTTTGGGGTCTCTTTGGAATAGTGGCTTTTTCTTTAAGTGGCTTTTTGACATACTTGTTACCTGTTTATCTTTAGAGCGTAGAACCCATCTCTTCCTTATCAAGATGATGGTTTGACCATTCCCATGGTCTTTATTCTTGGTTGAACAGATTACCGTGTCTCCTCCAGGCATCTGGAAACTGCAAATCTTTCTGATATCATTGCTGATTTTCTAGTGATTTCTCCTTGATGTCAAGGAAAGAAGGATTGTTTGAAGTGACACCTTAAATACATACACAAACAAGGATTACAATTACCTCGGCGACTGGGGACCACGTTTCCGCAAGCTGGCCGACCTGTACAGTGGAGATGACTAGCATCATCGGGTTTGCCTCCATTTAACTCAAATATTAACAAATAACATATCCAAAGCCAAAAAAACCCACAACCTAATGTGGATACTGTGGTTTACTTCCACATTATCCAAAGGCATGATAATCTGAGGCTGACAGGCACTGTATGATTGTTTTGCCTTATTTTACCTTGGGCTTATGGTCGCAAAAAAGTCAGCATGAGTCCTGTAGTGGTCGTAGATAGTCGGCAGGAATGTTTGGCTTGAAATCTTGTTAATTTGATATGTGGTGAGTCTAGTCAGACTCCAGTCTGCAAGAGTGTAAAGGTAACCAATCCTACCCAACATCAGCTGTAGTCAAGTATTTTTCAATTTTCAAGCCTGGACGTAGTTGGTTAGTGAGAAGTAACCACAGAACCAACACTGAAACACTGAAAAAAAGAGATTGGAACACAACTTCAAATCTGAGTGTTATGTTTTTTTTTATATTGTGATGATAAAGAAAAGGCAAACCACAAAAATAAGGAATAGAAATTTAAGAATGAAATACACTAAATACTGCACAGCCATATTTAAATATTTAAATTCAGATATTGAGCAAACAAATATGCTCTTAAATTAAAGTGGCAGTAATTGATATGAAGGGGTTTTTACGTGCAGCTGAATTTAAAGAATTGAAATCTTAAAAAACATATTTCCCAAAAAACGAATTTTACAATCTGAAATTCAAAACTTATTTGTGGTATCCAAACCTCATTGTTGTTTGTTAAGATACAAATTAAAACATATTTAGAAAAAAATTCAACATTAAATCATTTCAAAACCCTCCAATAGCATGAAAAAAAATGTTCCAAACTCTCAACGCAAAAGTATTACAAATAATATAGGCAACACATCATCAAAAGCACACTTTCATTTGATTTTCAGAATAACCTTAGTGTTTTAAATTGCAACACGTTAATTTTGTAGTGGAGTGGAACAGAATTCAATCACCACTTTTACTAGGACCATTTATTCTTTAACTCTGAAATGGTTTCTATTCACAGGCTATGGAGGATTAGATTTTTATTCTGAAAATCTAAGTTAGGCTTACATTTTCTTTTGAGTCTTTTTATTTATATGTATACAGTTTTAAAATTCTTGACAATTGTATAGAATTTAAGTCATATTACATGATGTAATTATTATTCTTGACCACCAGATGGGAGTGTCTGCAAAGTTTTGACTGTCCATTTATGGTTAAATTCTGGCCCAAAGAGGCTCCAGACAGTGGCAGAGCTAGACTTTTTTTCAAGGGGTGGCCAAAGGGTGAGCAAGGCTTCATGAGAGGGGTCCATATACAAATGATGAACGAAAGGAAACAAATATTTTCTCACACACACTCAAATTAAAATGGTTTATTTAACAAAGATTTGCCATGACCACACAAGATGTTAAACGACACTATGGAACAGTGAACATGTAAATGTAAACTCAGAGCCCAGAATATGACCAAAAACAAATTCTCAAAAATAAATAGATAAATAAACTGGTGCTTTTGGTGTGCAATAGGTTGTGCTGGGTGGGGGCAGTTCAGTGCCATTTCCTTCTGCTTCACGGTCTTCCTCCCCAGAGTCTGACTCTGAATCTATCACCCTCATCTCTCTCTGGAACTTAATTGTGAAATGCATAAACAGACACAATAAAAAATGCAAAAAGCATCATGCTAACCTTTACAATTAGCCTTATTGGATTTTAATACTTAATAACTCTCTGTCACAGCCTCTAACCCGCTGGTGATACACTTGGGCCTGGAGTCTCTTGGCTGGATTATCCAGGTTGGTCACTGCTGCAGGGTTCTGTCTGGTCCTGGTCACTGCTGCAGGGTTATGTATGGTCCTGGTCTGGCCCTGGTTTTTGCCTCTTTAAGAAGAACTGGGAGATATTCCCTTTTCTCTTCATTAGGGCTCTCCAAAAAATAAGAGCCTGGTATTTAGACTCCATGACTTTTTGGCAGAGACAACACTATTTTAACTATTATTTAAAATATAGTTTTTAGTTTTCTGTAGCTAGCTAAAATACTAAATTAAAAATACATTAATTAAAATTAATTAATATAACTAGTTAGGTTATAATTCAAAGCCTTCATATGACATAGCCTACTTACATTTCAGTCATTATAAAACTTAATGGTTTTTCACATATTCTTACCACACATTTCAAGCAAGAACTGGGAGATATAAAACATTAGAGGGCAGCATGTGCACTAAAACATGTGTTAAAAGAATCTGTCTAAAACACGATCTATCAGCACTAGCATGGCTAATAAACGAGGCACTATGCAGCAGTGCACAACCATTTTTTTTTTTTTTTTCTGTTTAGAAATGTATGACAAGTGCCGCCTCTCATTAGGAAGGAAACAGCGGTTACCGCTGAGCGGTAAAATGGAAATACCTGCAAAACTCCTTGAGGTGTAACTAAAGCCACGGATGTGTTTTGGATCAAGCAGGACCCACATGTCAGTTTAACCAATGAACAGCGTCGGGCATCGGGCTGCCTTCCGGGACAGTCGGAAATTACAGTTTTCCTGGCAAATCTTTGCCGATCTCATAAGTATTATATTTTAAAATGACCATTTCCAGTGGGGTGGTAGTAGGGGTGGTAAGGGCTCTGTTGGGGGTGGCAAGTGCCACCCCCCTGGCTCCAGAGGAGTTGATAAGTCCTGTCAGCTGAAGTGTGTGATCCTCAGTCTTTGAGTGAGGAAAAAGGAATCTGCTGAACTCAGCCGGTTATATAGTGTGAACTTCAAGTCTTTTCAAAATTAGAAAATTTGAAAGCTGTGCAGTGTGTGTACTGCTTTTGTAGACCTATACCTTTGAAGAAATAAAAAAAAAAACATCAACAAAACTATATAATATATTCTTTGTTGTGTTATTAAGCACATAGAAATTATTTTTGGTAATCCTAGCAGACCTAAAACAGACGGATTTAATGTCACACGGTAAGAAAAAAAGTGTGTATGCTAGCCTGCTTATAATCACATATTTTAAAAATCTAGATCAGTTAGGATTCTAACATCAGTTGCATAAAATAAAAATGTGATTCAGAAGTGAAAATTAAGAGCAAATATTAAAGAAGTTCTGCATGTGATATTTAAGTGACAGGTATTTGGTTTTGACTGAACTGCTGATGTTCAAACAACCGAATTTTATGGAAGACCAAATTGACATAATAAGAAATAAAAGCATAAATATATATTTAGTATTTCCTTGTCCTTACACATGAGTTTCCATCAAGAAATGTATAAATTTTCTTCATTTCCCCTAGACATGCAACTGCGCGAGGCGTAAATGCCCCACAATGTCTTACGCAGTGACGGTTAAAATTCAATTGTTCTGTAGAGGAGCTGGACATAGAAGGCAGTTCTCCTCATTAACATGAAGATGAACACAGAGAAGCAGGAAAAGAAGAAGTAGAAACAGAACAGGAGGCAACGACAAAAGGAGGGCTTGGAAAAGACGAAACAAAATATCTACCTTTCTTGACAAAAAAGCATGTTTAGGGGAAATGAAAAAGAAAATTTATATATTTCTTGACAGAAATGCATGTGTAAAGACAAGGAAAAACTAAATATATGTATACTTTTATTTATTATTATGTTAGGTTTAGTCCTCCATAGAATTTATGATTCTTCTGTGTTTGAAGAATCTCCATCTGATGAATAATAAGAGTAAACAAAGTCACTGTAGAGAGACCCAGATTAAATTTATATACAAAACTTGGCGGTCTTAAAGTCATGCTACATCAGTGCTTCCTTCTGGCTACTTAGAAGCATTCTTATAATTGCTGACATCATACAGGCAGTGTATATTTTTTCCCAGCATTTCACACACATATAGCTGCACTCCAGCAGCAACATAAACCAGATGATTTCCTGCTACTCAGATTTTTCTCTTCAAATACATTTGAAAATTGTAAATCCACCTCTAAACCAGGAACAAATTCCACTTCTTGAAACAGCTTAGCAGTGTTTTGTTTTCCAGGATATTTTGATCCAAAATCTCCCTGTAACTCTAAGGCAAGCAGAGAAATGGTTTTGGTTTGACTCAAATATTCATTTGTCCTCCTAAAGGAGAATTAGAAAACGGTATAAGATGAACTTAGAGTATGAAGAAGAACATACAGGAAAAAGATTACAGTCTTAAACGATGAAATTTCCATTTATGCAAGGAAAAATATGAAAGCAAGAAACATTGTTGACAATTGAAACCCAGTCGTAATAATAAAAATATATTAAAAAGCATTTTTGCTAGTTTGATATTCCAGATCACTTATTCAGAAAGAGTGAAGCTTAGAAAGATACTGCGTTTTATATCTTTCTCTCTTCAAATATGTTTGAAAATGATTATATCTTTTGTATATATATCTTTTGTTTAATCAGAGTGTAATTTTTACAGTTGATCACCAATAAAGGGTGCCATCAGTGCAAGTTTTGCACATGCTGCGGTGAATCACACTCAGAAATGGCAACGTTTCCTCTGAAGATGATTTGCCTTAGTGTTCTCTGATATTCTCCCACTGGCTACTTACTGTAAGCTTAAATCTGTACAAACTATTTTTTTTCTTGTGATGTTCTTTTGGTTGTGATCTATTACAATGACATGCTTATATTCTGAATCCTTGTAAATGTCTAATTTGGATCACAAATTAAAATGTTTTTGCATGTTTTTTTATCTTTTCATCCTATTACTAGAAGTGTAATCTTGATTTTTTTTTTTGCAACAGCATTATATGGATTCAAACCTATAACTGAAAGAGTTCTGTAAAATTGAAATCCATATTGGCCATTTGATAAATTGTTGAATGTTTACTATCTCAGCATCTGTGATTCTACCAATGATCCAAGAACCTCAAGCTGCACAGTCATCCATTATAAGGACCAAATCTCCAGGGGAAAAAAAATTGCATTTCATATTAATCCAATTTTGGCACTGTTGTAGTTGTGGCAGTTATTCTTTAACATATCTTTTCCAGAATAGATCAGATATGTATTGGACCTGTCTCCATCGTTTCTGTGGATGAAGGTAAACTTTCTGAGATTCTCCATTTTTCACTTCTTTCACTGACATAAAGCCTTTTTGGTCGTCTCAAATGCGGCTCTCATGAAACCCAAGATTGGCACTTGGCTCTAGTTTCAAACAAGAACTGTTGATTTTCAACATTTCTGAGGAGGTAGATAGCAGATAATTTTCCAATACAGGACTGCTAATCCACAGATTCTTCATTTTTCACTTCTTTTGCTGTATCATAAAACTTTCTAAGACAAAAAAAGCTTTAACTCAGTGAAATAAGTCAAAACTGCACCAATGTGTAATTTTCAGCAAAATCTTGAAAGTTCAGCTTTATAATCTTTGAAACAGCATAGAAGTAATGAGAAGCAGTATATTTTTGTGGTTTGAACAATTCCAGAGTTTCTTGAACATATAACTATCAGTACTTCTATGCTTTTTCAAAGATTATAAAGCTGAACATTCATGAGTTTGCAGAAAATTACACAGTGGTGCATTTCTGACTTATTTCACTGAGAGAAAGCTTTTTTCGTCTTAGTCTTATTTTTGACTTCTTTCACTGAGATCAACACTGGAATTGTTCAAAACACTAAAATATACTGCTTCTCAGTACTTCTATGCTGTTTCAAAGATTATAAAGCTGAACTTTCATGAATTTAGAAAATTACAGTGGTGCATTTTTGACTTATTTCATTGAGAGAAAGCTTTTTTTGTCTTATCTTATTTTTGACTTCTTTCACAATCAACACTGGAATTGTTCAAAACACTAAAATATACTGCTTCTCAGTACTTCTATGCTGTTTCAAAGATTATAAAGCTGAACTTTCATGAATTTAGAAAATTACAGTGGTGCATTTTTGACTTATTTCATGAGAGAAAGCTTTTTTCGTCTTATCTTATTTTTGACTTCTTTCACTGAGATCAACACTGGAATTGTTCAAAACACTAAAATATACTGCTTCTCAGTACTTCTATGCTGTTTCAAAGATTATAAAGCTGAACTTTATGAATTTGCAGAAAATTACAAGTGGTGCATTTTTGACTTATTTCACTGAGAGAAAGCTTTTTTCGTCTTAGTCTTATTTTTGACTTCTTTCACTGAGATCAACACTGGAATTGTTCAAAACACTAAAATATACTGCTTCTCAGTACTTCTATGCTGTTTCAAAGATTATAAAGCTGAACTTTCATGACTTTGCAGAAAATTACTAAGTGGTGCATTTTTGACTTATTTCACTGAGAGAAGCTTTTTTCGTTAGTCTTATTTTTGACTTCTTTCACTGAGATCAACACTGGAATTGTTCAAAACACTAAAATATACTGCTTCTCAGTACTTCTATGCTGTTTCAAAGATTATAAGCTGAACTTTCAAGAATTGCAGAAAATTACACAGTGGTGCATTTTGACTTATTTCACTGAGAGAAAGCTTTTTCGTCTTAGTCTTATTTTTGACTTCTTTCACTGAGATCAACACTGGAATTGTTCAAAACACTAAAATATACTGCTTCTCAGTACTTCTATGCTGTTTCAAAGATTATGCTGAACTTTCATGACTTTGCAGAAAATTACAAGTGGTGCATTTTTGACTTATTTCACTGAAATCGTCTTAGTCTTACTTCTTTCACTGAGATCAACACTGGAATTGTTCAAAACACTAAAATATACTGCTTCTCAGTACTTCTAAGCTGTTTCAAAGATTATAAGCTGAACTTTCATGAATTTGCAGAAAATTACACAGTGGTGCATTTTTGACTTATTTCACTGAGAGAAAGCTTTTTTCGTCTTATTTTTGACTTCTTTCACTGAGATCAACACTGGAATTGTTCAAAACACTAAAATATACTGCTTCTCAGTACTTCTATGTGTTTCAAAGATTATAAGCTGAACTTTCATGAATTTGCAGAAAATTACACAGTGGTGCATTTTGACTTATTTCACTGAGAGAAAGCTTTTTCGTCTTAGTCTTACTTTTTGACTTCTTTCACTGAGATCAACACTGGAATTGTTCAAAACACTAAAATACTGCTTCTCAGTACTTCTAAGCTGTTTCAAAGATTATAAGCTGAACTTTCATGAATTTGCAGAAAATTACACAGTGGTGCATTTTTGACTTATTTCACTGAAATCAACACTGGAATTGTTCAAAACACTAAAATATACTGCTTCTCAGTACTTCTAAGCTGTTTCAAAGATTATGAAGCTGAACTTTCATGAATTTGCAGAAAATTACACAGTGGTGCATTTTTGACTTAGACTTATTTTTGACTTCTTTCACTGAGATCAACACTGGAATTGTTCAAAACACTAAAATATACTGCTTCTCAGTACTTCTAAGCTGTTTCAACGATTATGAAGCTGAACTTTCATGAATTTGCAGAAAATTACACAGTGGTGCATTTTGACTTATTTCACTGAGAGAAAGCTTTTTTCGTCTTAGTCTTATTTTTGACTTCTTTCACTGAGATCAACACTGGAATTGTTCAAAACACTAAATACTGCTTCTCAGTACTTCTAAGCTGTTTCAAAGATTATGAAGCTGAACTTTCATGAATTTGCAGAAAATTACACAGTGGTGCATTTTTGACTTAGATTTTTATCTTATTGACTTCTTTCACTGAGATCAACACTGGAATTGTTCAAAACACTAAAATATACTGCTTCTCAGTACTTCTAATGTTCAAAGATTATGAAGCTGAACTTTCATGAATTTGCAGAAAATTACACAGTGGTGCATTTTGACTTAGACTTTTTTGACTTATTTTTGATTCTTTCATGAGATCAACACTGGAATTGTTCAAAACACTAAAATATACTTCTTCTCAGTACTTCTAAGCTGTTTCAAAGATTATGAAGTGAACTTTCATGAATTTGCAGAAAATTACACAGTGTGCATTTTGACTTATTTCACTGAGAGAAAGCTTTTTTCGTCTTAGTCTTATTTTTGACTTCTTTCACTGAGATCAACACTGGAATTGTTCAAAACACTAAAATTACTGCTTCTCAGTACTTCTAAGCTGTTTCAAAGATTATGAAGCTGAACTTTCATGAATTTGCAGAAAATTACACAGTGGTGCATTTTTGACTTAGTTTTATTTTTGACTTCTTTCACTGAGATCAACACTGGAATTGTTTAAAACACTAAAATATACTGCTTCTCAGTACTTCTAATGTTTCAAAGATTATGAAGCTGAACTTTCATGAATTTGCAGAAAATTACACAGTGGTGCATTTTTGACTTATTTTTGACTTCTTTCACTGAGATCAACACTGGAATTGTTCAAAACACTAAAATATACTGCTTCTCAGTACTTCTAAGCTGTTTCAAAGATTATGAAGCTGAACTTTCATGAATTTGCAGAAAATTACACAGTGTGCATTTTTGACTTATTTCACTGAGAGAAAGCTTTTTTCGTCTTAGTCTTACTTTTTGACTTCTTTCACTGAGATCAACACTGGAATTGTTCAAAACACTAAAATATACTGCTTCTCAGTACTTCTAAGCTGTTTCAAAGATTATGAAGCTGAACTTTCATGAATTTGCAGAAAATTACACAGTTGTGCATTTTGACTTATTTCACTGAGAGAAAGCTTTTTTCGTCTTAGTCTTACTTTTTGACTTCTTTCACTGAGATCAACACTGGAATTGTTCAAAACACTAAAATATACTGCTTCTCAGTACTTCTAAGCTGTTTCAAAGATTATGAAGCTGAACTTTCATGAATTTCAGAAAATTACACAGTGGTGCATTTTTGACTTATTTCACTGAGAGAAAGCTTTTTTCGTCGTCTTACTTTTTGACTTCTTTCACTGAGATCAACACTGGAATTGTTCAAAACACTAAATATACTGCTTCTCAGTACTTCTAAGCTGTTTCAAAGATTATGAAGCTGAACTTTCATGAATTTGCAGAAAATTACACAGTGGTGCATTTTTGACTTATTTCATGAGAGAAAGCTTTTTTCGTCTTAGTCTTACTTTTTGATTCTTTCACTGAGATCAACACTGGAATTGTTCAAAACACTAAAATATACTGCTTCTCAGTACTTCTAAGCTGTTTCAAAGATTATGAAGCTGAACTTTCATGAATTTGCAGAAAATACAGTGTGCATTTTTGACTTATTTCACTGAGAGAAAGCTTTTTTCGTCTTAGTCTTACTTTTTGACTTCTTTCACTGAGATCAACACTGGAATTGTTCAAAACACTAAAATATACTGCTTCTCAGTACTTCTAAGCTGTTTCAAATTATGAAGCTGAACTTTCATGAATTTGCAGAAAATTACACAGTGGTGCATTTTGACTTATTTCACTGAGAGAAAGCTTTTTTCGTCTTAGTCTTATTTTTGACTTCTTTCACTGAGATCAACACTGGAATTGTTCAAAACACTAAAATATACTGCTTCTCAGTACTTCTAAGCTGTTTCAAAGATTATGAAGCTGAACTTTATGAATTTGCAGAAAATTACACAGTGGTGCATTTTTGACTTATTTCACTGAGAGAAAGCTTTTTTCGTCTTAGTCTTATTTTTGACTTCTTTCACTGAGATCAACACTGGAATTGTTCAAAACACTAAAATATACTGCTTCTCAGTACTTCTAAGCTGTTTCAAAGATTATGAAGCTGAACTTTCATGAATTTGCAGAAAATTACACAGTGGTGC